TCATTCATTCATTCGATTCCATTTATTTTTTTTAAATTTCATTGTTTTATTTATTTTGTCTCAAATAAATGTCTTGCATATATCCTTGTCTTATGGCAGAAAGCATTTAAAACGGATTTCTTTGCACAGCTCAATTCCGAAATTCGTTATCAGAGTAAGGGGATAATTTGTCGAGCGACATCTCTTATGATTCCTCTCCAAGGAATTCCCATTAAAATGTGGATTTATTTTGATAAACAGGTAACTTTAATGAAATTACTTTAAGTAATTAACATTAGCATATTTAATATTTATTTTGCGGGTATTACTAATATCGATAACAGCTACAATTAGAATTCTCATTAAAACACTTCAAATGTTTCTTGCTCTTTCTTATTAATTTAATTTGCACTTTTTTTTACAGATTTTAGTTCTTGCAACTATTTGAGATAATTATGTCATTCTGTCAACTATTTTGTCATCAAATTCGAATAACTTAATTTCATCTTTTTCTGCAAGACTACCTACCCTTTACTATTTTCAAGTGAATGTTGTTTGGTAAGCAATGCGTTAGGGTTAGTTGACTGAGCATAGAGACAATCTAGTTTTCATCAATGTTAACTTCAGCTATTGACATTTCCAAAATTTTGAGCAAAAATTAAAACTCTCCAGTAAAGCTCCAATTTAACTGAATATCTAAAGTTATTTTATTGCTATCTTCTATATAACATGTCATATTTTAGTCAGAAAAATAAAATGTATCCCGAAAGAACCTCAATTTTTTACTTGAAGTCCTAGGAACCTTCCACGTGTTTCACGTGACTTGTATCTGAACGACAAATCGATTTCGTAAGTGAATTTTGATGTATTTCTTAGCAAAATAGATTATGTTCATCAGTAAATTTAATCAATTCAAATTATTCAACCAATTGAAAACGGTTAGAAAAGTCAATTTTTCATCGAATGTTTTTTCGAATATTCCGGCCAGAGATGAGTGTAATGTTTCTTATGATAATTATGATGTTTCAATGTCATTCTTTTTAACACATATAAATAAATAAATATTAAATAGATAAACAATAAATAAATGAGTAAATAAATAAATAAATAAATATATATATATATATATAAATTCAATTAACAATCATTGCAATATCTGCCAGATGCAAATTTTATTGCATAGAAATAAGTAAATGAATTATTGGCATACGGATTTTAGATTAAGAAGTGTATAATGTGTGGCTGAAGTTTAGTAGATCAGTTTTTTATTAACAAAAGTTATTAAGAATTACTGATAGTTCACTATATCTGAATGACTCCAATTTTTTTTTTTTTTCTTTTTTGGTGAATTTTTATTAAGTAATGATTTATAATTTTTAAATTTCTTCCGGAACCATTTCATTATTCTGTTGCACACTGACATTACAAATACAAAATAAAATTACTGAATTGAGAAAGTTTCTTAAAATTTTTTTAGAGGAATGAACTAAATTAATTTGATTTTGGAAATATTTGAAGTCTTAAAAATTTTGAATAAAAGTTCAAAATGTTTTCAGGAGCAATTTGGAAGAAAACTATTGCTGAAAATATTAAATTATGCTGTTACATTTTCTATTATCATTACATCTACTTCTATTATTTTATCGACATCTCCAAAACGACCAAATTAAAAGTTTATCATTTTTGCAAAAGCATTAGTAGTGTTGAGCAAGCTGTGCTACTGATAACGATGATGACTAATTTTCCTTATCAGTTCGATTATTCAAACAGAAAGAACTGATTAATAAGAAGCCGAATGTTGATGACTTGCTGACAAGCTTTAGTATTTATATTAGAGTTTTTTCCTTTTATTCGCAATAACTATATTATATTTATTGTCTCTCTGTCATAAACATAAACTAAAAATAATATACAATAACACAAAAAATAGTGAAGTATTGAAGAAAAGTGTACAATTTTCAATGTAAATCATCACTTTTTTATATTTTCTACGTTTTTCTTCGCTTTAATGATTTGCTAAATTTCTATCAAATAGTGAAATGGCTAATAAATTCTTAAAAATTTAACTGCATTTAAGAAAATTTCTAATGTCATCATTTATTACAATATTTTTAAAACACCTTGCACTATTGTGAAAATGTCGATTTTACCCATTTTTCTTTCAGTATCTTTCATGCTTTTTATATCTAAAAAATATAAATTAAATATTTCCAAATAAATTTCTCAAATAAATTTTTACTATGAGATTATATTTAATTAAAATTTGCCAAAAACCGAACGAAATAAAGTCAATTGATAAGGCTCCCCGCATTTTTTGGATCTGCCTTTTTTTCATTTCTCATGTTGTATATCTGGTAAGATATAAATTAATAAAATACTACTAATGCGGCTAATATTATCAGGTAGAGATAGTATTGAAATTTTTGGAGTGAAGAAGATTCACCAAAACATTAGCTAAAGTTCTGGGTAACTCAAAGTGAACTAGTGAATGAATAGTGCAGTTGCAGAGATAAACTGCACACTTGAATCTATCGAAATTTTAGAGGAAAAAAAGTACCTTTCACAGCGATCTGTGATTATATGTTAATGATTTTTAATCACTTTATAATTGTGATTTTAGTTTCGTTCTTTAATGAAAGTACAAATTTACATTCTTAGAATTGAACTCTTGGAAATTTCAAAGCATAATAGTATTTCTTGCCAACTTAGATGAGAGATGGAGTTCCTACCTTTCAGTAAATGGTATTCTTAATCCCATTCATTGCTTATATCTTTTCAGGTGTAAATCATTTCGATACTTAAGCCGTTAATAATCACAATTTTGGGACAGATGGCGAAAACACTAGCATAAATTCGAATTCGAACTTTTAATTTTTGAACTGATTAAAAATTATGGGTTCGATAATACAGTATTATAATGAAAAATTTATTTTACTCATATATTGATATTGCCTCCATCATACTGGACTTTATTTAAAATATAATCAATATATTTAAGACACTTGTAATTCTTGAAAACATAAACTTTTCGAAGCAGAACAGAAATCATATACATATCAATATGTGCAATGATTCTTTCTACTAACAAATTGTGAGATATGAAGTTTTGTTTACCTTAGCCTTTCTCTTATAGTTAATTGTTGTGTTTGTTTCCGAAACAAACTTTAATGTTTAAAAATCCATGAAATGCAGTATTTCATATTAAAATGTTACAATATAGTCAAGATGCTTCTTTTCTTATGTTAGCTCAAATATTTTAGGTATTAAAAATTTGCTTCTCACTACATTTTATTGTTAAACTATTTGTAAACTAAAAATCTGGACCAGTCTGATAGTTAGTGCACCTTAATTTAATTCATTTATGATTTTATTTTAATAAATATTCAAAAATAATACCAAATATGTTTTAACACATGAATTGCAGCATAATACGGATGCATAATTTGAAAACATCATGCTAAATTCACTGCTAGGTAAGATCAGAAGCTGCAAGGCATCGTAGATAGTTTAATTATTTGTAATAAAATACCTTTTTGTATTCCGTTTTGTAATTATCATTTCAATTCTGAACGAGTAGATCAATATGTCTTATGATAATATGATAATTTGATTTTAAGAAAATACAATGTTAAATGTTTCTTTTTCTTTGCTGAAATTTATATGTTTTCCTACTTTCAGATATCTTATCATTCATCTCATCAAATATAATTTTCAAAGGCTGAAAAAAAGAAGCGAAAGAATGGTTTTAAAAATTATTTCTTTAATTTCATCTTACTTTGCACAAAGTTTCCCGGATCATAACTAATGAAAATGATGCATTTACTAATAATAAATTCAAACTTTAAATAAAGTAATTATAATAAATACTTTCCAAAATAAACACATCTAATGTTTTTTTTTTTTGTTGTACTTTTTATTTTTAATTATTGTTAGATATACTTCATTAACAGTGCATGCGAAACTATTTGTCTTCTTCTTTATATAAATGTTATAGATTCTTAATTTTAGTTTTGAAAAATTTTAGTCCAAAAATATATCTTTCTTCTACTTTACAAAAAAATTCAAAAAAAAAAAAATAAATAAATAATAAAATATATATATGTGAATGAAAAAGCTAATTCAGATTTTGTTTGATTATATGTTCAAATCAGCGTATTTATTTAACAATTTTGAAATACTTTTAGGAGGTAGAAATAATTTTAGCCAAGCAATAAAAGTTTGATTAAATTTTTGGCTTTACTAAATTAATAAATATGTTAAATTAATCCTTCAATTAAATAGAAACTGATTGTTTTAACAAATGTAATTGCTTGACTAATTAATTTAAATTATTGCTCAGCTATATTCTCTTAATTTATACCTTTTAAAATGAAAGTTCACAACAAAAAAAGGTCTCACAGCTTAGTTCAATGATTTATAATTCTCTGGTTGATTTGTTGTTCAACATGATCAGATATAGCATAACTTCACTTTTTTTTTTTTTCACAAAACAAATTAACTAATTAGTTTGTTTTCACAAACAATAAATAAATAAATGAATAACAAAGCACTCATTGATAACTGACATTAAATTACACTTCTTTTTTCCATAAATTTTTTCTAATTTTCTCAAACACATTGAGTAGTAATTATTTGTTTAATGTTTGATCACGAAATTCATGTTTCACCCAAATGTGATTGCTCTATCTCTTCAACTTTTCATCTATTTCTTTTTGTTTCATACTTTTTATGTTGTTTTTAATTTAAAAAAATTTACTCAAATAAATTTTTTTACACTTTGCTAATTTTCATTTCTAAATTGATTATTTTTGATCAGTTTCAGTAATTACTGAGACTTGTCATTATAAATAGTTTTTTTCAGTTAATTTACTGAAGCAAATGGTTAATATGATACAGAATCATTAAGAACGTTAATTCGAAAAAATTTTCACATTATCCATTTCATATTGTTCACAAATTTTCTTTTCTAAAGGATTTAAAAATTCCGACAAATTTTTCGACGAGTGATAATTGAATTTAATATGGGTTTACCACCATACTTGTTGTCCTTATCGCTAGCTGCATGTTTTAATGGAAATTTTCAACAAGCATATTTGTTGTCTATATTGAATCAGCCATATTTGGAAATACAACAGGTAGTGCTGCTATATTATGTTTATCAATTAACTTTTTAAATTTCTCAAAAATTTTTTTTAAAAAAAAAAGCTGCTAAAAATCCAAATAAAAAATTTTTTTTCAAGCAGTTAACGGTTCAACCATATCAAATTTTAGTTCATTAATGAGTCAACAATAGCACGATCTGGAAAACCAATCGATCCATTAGTTTTGGATTTTCTTTGGTCATTAATCAATGTAATAAATCCTATTTCTGGTATTGTTGGTCAAATGATTGCATATTTAATTTGTGATCGAATTGGTCGTCGTCGAACTGCTATCATTTCATGTCTTATTTCTATTCCTGGTATGTGCTATAGCAGTAATTATGTTAAATTTTACGATCAATAAGAGTATCACAGATTATCAAATATTGACATTATGTGTGCTACACTGTCACATCAATAAAAACTCTCAACATTACTTCATCTCATTAAGTCATTTTCTTGGCCAATGTTTCATTTCTAATTATTTATTTAGATTGATATGGCCAGATTAATATTTGATAATTTCATAGTTTAGAAAATACCTTTTTTTCAGCATTACTACTTTCAACGTTGACACAGTTATGTTTTCCATACTATGAAACATTGGTAGTTGGTCGTTTCCTTTGGGGAACAGCAAATGGTATTGCAATTGTTGTGCAAACCGTTTGGATTGTAGAAAGTGCGTCAACAATGCAACGAGGATTTGTCAATTCCTGGCAGGAAGTAATTGCTACAGTCGGTCAGCCAATTTTATTTTAATATTGTTTGTTTTTAAAAAAATTCAGAGGCATATTCACTTCAAAATTCTCGTCTTGAACTAAAATTTGTGGTAACTTTTTTTTTCTCAATCGTTAAACATAAAAGTTAGCCTTATCATTCCTGAAAAGCAATGAAAATAAGCCTATAAAAAATTAGCCAGTTCTGTTCCAATTTTTTGAGACAGATTGGCAGTATAATAATTAACATCATAATTTCAAAATTTTCAGTCTTTGCATCAGTGGTTGTCTTTTCTTGTACAATTTTAAAAGATTGTTTAAAAATATTTCAATGTCAGAGAGATGATTTATTAATTGAAAATTATTTAATTAGTATCAAAGTATTTCAATATATATAAATCCTGCAGGTAACTTATTAACACAGTTAGTTGGAGTACCACTGTCAGCACCCGACATATGGCCATTTATGTTCGTGGTACCTCTTGCTGTTGCTATTGTCTCGTTGGTAGTATTTATCCTAATGCATGAGTCACCGCAGTATGCGCTAATGTTCTCTCATAATCGACAAGAAGTATGTTTCATTCTTAGTTCATCAATTTAATCAACTGGCAAAAGGTGACACTTAAATGGATTTTGTAAGGATTACCTGCAGCTTTGCCACAAATAAATTTTATTTTGAAAGATGAAATGCCGAGTTCAATAAAATATATTAGGTCTAATTGATTTCTGTATGCACTTTATGTTTTCTTGCCTTTTCTTTATTTCATGCAAAGCAAACAGAATTTTCATTTCAATTCTAAAATCTTCTAATTAATATTTAAATTTGGGATTAAATCTAAATTAGAAAATGATAATTTATTTTTACTATTTATTGCTTTGATATAAGCGTATAAGTATTAACTCTTCCCAATCAATCTTTTCTGCTTCGTTACATGAAATTAATACCTCAATAAATTCCTCAAGCATTGATTCTGTGATCTATTATCTTTGATTGTAGAAAGTTATAAGTTCTTACACGTTCAGAACAATTTTCAAAACCAACTTGACTCTCTCTCTCTCTCTCTCTCTCATTGTTGATTTTTCTATTTTTTTTCTTTTTTTTTTTTGCCTTTCACAATTTTTTTATAATTTTTATGCTACGATTTTTGAATGCTTTAGCTTTGTTTTTATGCTGTATTACAACTAGAAGCGCTGATTTTTTTTAATTGAATTAGATAAATCTCTTTGATTTCAAATATTATTGACAAATCTAATGCCATATTTTCTAGTTTGGAAAGAAAATATTCGATTAAATCTTTTTGATTTAGCCTCTGTATCATAAGAATAATAACCTCTTTTTTCTATTGCTAAGCTAAGCCTAAGCTTATGGCTCAGTTTCGCTCAAAGTTTGAGCTAAGCTCTTTTTGCAATTTTATCATGAAAAATTGCTAACACTGGTTAAGACTGCAAATAATATAATTAAGATTGATGCAACTAATATTTTTCTTAGTTTTTTTGAAAAGAAAAGTTCAAATTTCTAAGTTTAAAAACTTAAAATAATTGACATTAATGAGTAGTGTGTAACAGATTATAAAATACAAATACTCCAAAAGCTGTTGTTTTGTTTAAAGCTTGTGATAGAGTAATTTTCCTTAAGTACCATCAAATTTTATTATTGTAAATGCATAAAATGTTAATTCTAATATTACCTATATTACTACTTAAAATCATTTCAGTCAAATTGAGTAATAGAGAAGATTTTAAGGTAAATCGAATAATAAATCTAAATGACAAACCCTTATTCCTTGTGCTATATTGTCAACAAAATGTTCATTTAAATAATTTTTGAAATGAAACAATTTCAGGCTGCACTTGCAATCCGAAATGAATAAATTTCAGGCTGCACTTGCAATCCGAAATGAATAAATTTCAGGCTGCACTTGCAATCCGAAATGAATGAATTTCAGGCTGCACTTGTAATCCGAAATGAATGAATTTCAGGCTGCACTTGCAATCCGAAATGAATAAATTTCAGGCTGCACTTGCAATCCGAAATGAATGAATTTCAGGCTGCACTTGTAATCCGAAATGAATGAATTTCAGGCTGCACTTGCAATCCGAAATGAATGAATTTCAGGCTGCACTTGCAATCCGAAATGAATAAATTTCAGGCTGCACTTGCAATCCGAAATGAATAAATTTCAGGCTGCACTTGTAATCCGAAATGAATAAATTTCAGGCTGCACTTGTAATCCGAAATGAATAAATTTCAGGCTGCACTTGCAATCCGTGCCTATCATGGCCTAAAAAGCGATATAGAAATCGATGAACAAATAATAAAATATGAGGAGGACGGTCAAAGGAAAGAAGAGCAGGAAAAAGGTGTAGATAATAGAAGACAGCCGAATGGTTTGGAAATTATGTTTATGCCATGGAAGGCCAATGATCCATCTTCATCTGTTATACGATTTGGAGCTTGGATCGGAATTATGGTCAAGGTAGACACTTCAATCTAGTGAAGTTTTATTAGTTTTTAATTTTATTATCAAATATGAACCTACATTATCTTAGATTTTTTGAAAAGAAAACTGCAAACTTCTATGTTTAAAAACTTCTTTAAATCTTAAAATAATTGACATTAATCTTATGATGACGTGTAATGCGTTTCAGATTGCTTACGTATTTACGGGAGCGCGAGTTATTCGATCATTTAATACATTTATTTATCATAATTTGGGCAAATGGTCAAAAACATTCTCCCAGGTCTTAAAATATTTCATTACCTATCTTGATGATGGTTTCATTTTTAGTACATGTTAATACTCTTGTAACACAATTTTTAAAATAATGAAGCATTTTTTTTTTTTTTTTTTCGGAAGTGTATTATATTCAAAACAGAGATCTATTCATTAATTTCGAGATTTTATTTAAATGGTAATATGACAGAGTATCTGAAATTTAGTAAAGCATACTTTACTAAGGTTTTACTTCTGCTATAGATTAAAATAAAAGAAAATAAATAATCAGATGGATCTTTTGGCCTAAGAAGAAGGACGTTTTGCATAAGAATTCTTGTGGATAGCTGCTGCTCTTAGCAACATTTCAAACAGTTTTAACGAAGATAATTTACAAATTATGGAATATTCAATTTGGTGGTATCTTTTATTGCTTAATTTAAAACATTTGTTGTAATAATTGTGCTTTACTCAATGAAATGCTTGTAGTGGGGATCACTAGCTAATACAGTTATCAGATTACCCCTATCAGTGATACCAATATTTATCATTGAACGTGTTGGACGACGACCGATGTTGATCATATCTGAATTCGTTAGCATATTAGCTCTCTCAATGACAATGGTTTCTGTTGTAGTTGGTGAAACAGCTAAGGTTTCATTTTTAGTACATGTTAATACTCTTGTAACACAATTTTTAAAATAATGAAGCATTTTTTTTTTTTTTTTTCGGAAGTGTATTATATTCAAAACAGAGATCTATTCATTAATTTCGAGATTTTATTTGTCAAACAAGAAGTGTCTTTTTTGAAATTATTCATAATATAAACATATTTTCAGCTCGGAACATTAACAGGTGTATCGATGGTATTATTTGCAACATCACTTGGTATTGGTTCCATATCGAGATTTTATTCAGCTGAATTGGTACCAAAAAGTATGATACTTCGTACAGTTACGATTCTGTCATTGATTGAATCATTTACTAAAATAGTACTAGATTTTGGATTCTATCCACTTGCAACAACTACCGGTGGATATTCGATTTTAATTTTTATTCTTCCATCTATCATATTTCTTATTCTTATCATACTTTATTGTCCCGAGACTAAGAAACGATCAGTGAATGAGATTCTTAATGAAATTGCATGGAAACATGATATTGATGTAGAGTTTAAAGTATAATTTCGAGCAGGTTTTTTCAAAATTTCAAGAAATGATTTTTTTGCTCAAATTTGTTTAAATACAATAATTTTTCTTTCATTTTCTCTTTCAAAATATAATGGAAGCATTTCAGTTTTTTCTTTTTTTTTTTTTTGAAATTCAGAAATTAATGTAGTAACTTTGACTCTAACACATACACATGTCGTTATCATTTTTATTTTTAATAATGATATCCCTTTGTTAATAATTAAAATCGCTTAACATTGATGTCAGTGTTGTTAATCAATTTCTCTTGCTTACCGAAACTACAACTATGTTATCAGTAACTTATCGCCAGCAAATTTCATAAGTTCAAATTTTGTTTAAGTAGAAGAATTGCTTACGAAGCAGTATCTGCTGATAAATTTGAAATAAAATCAATTACGGATCAATGATCTGCCTTTTTTCATTAACATTTTATACTGCTTTCAAATTACAATTTATTGAGATTATAGTATTTTAACAAATGAGACACTTTCTTCCTTAATGCGCTTATTTAATTTTTTAATTTTGGATTGATAAAGAGTAAAGCAAAATATTGCGATGTTTGAACGGAGAAATTAAAACTCTATCTGTCAATTTGGAAATCGATAAAAGAATTTGAGTTTTTCCTCAAATCCTAGAATATAATTTAAGAATTATATGACACGGACAAATCATTCAATGACTGAACGATCAAAAAGGATTCTTAGAAAAAGAAAAGAATGTGAAGTAAGTATAAGATATTTTGTTATTGACTTAGCTCATTAAAATTCAAAGTATGTCATACTTTAAACAGATGACATTAAGTAATATATTTCTAAAGAAAAATTTTAACTTCTGTTTACATTACAAGGTAATCTTGTCATAGCACATACAAGAGGTAAATTTTAGAAACATGAATATATAGTCAGAGGTTAATAGCTAAATTAACAGTAAACGGGACAAGTATTACAATAAAGTTAACTAGCCATGCTATGAATTTTCAACAATACAAATGAATAAAATTATGCTAAGAAGTTATTAAATAGGGAAAAGACAGAAAAAGATAAATCTCTATACATCAGTCCAGAATTTAAAAAATTGAAAACAATTACTGAAAACTAGGGCAAATAACTCTTTAGAATCTTTTATCCATTTAAAAAATTCCTAAATATTAGAAAGAAAGGTAATGATAAAAATAAAATGTGCTTATTAGAGCTATGTACTGACAATCGCTGACATTACTAATGAGTAATGATAAAATAGCAAAAATTAGAAAACACAGAAGGAAATAAAAAAGGAAAATGAAACTGCAGAAGAAAGCAATCAATAAAGAATTTATTCAACTTTTTTTAAAAGTTTTCTTCATTGCAAATATAACTGAATCATCAGTAACTATATATTTTGAATAGGTGAGATACTAAAAAATTCAAAAACTTTTTTCTTGGGCTTATTATTTTAATTTCAATTACCCATTTAGATTTTCATACTTTAGATTTTTTAAATGAAATCAGAAATTCCTGACAGTAAGTTTGACGATGATAACTCAGAATGTTATTATATTATCATTCTCACAGTGGCCAATCCAGATATCCACACACTTGCGCAAAATATAAGGTAATGAGAAACGTGAACTGGTTCAAAATGAATTATCAGTTCTTATCAAAATGAAATTATCAGAATTATCAGTCCCTCTGAAGTGTGAGAAATATGGATGTTTGTCCAATTTCATTAATAGATAAATAAACAAAATCATTTTACATATTTCAAAATTACTTCCTAAAAAAACAGTAAATTTGTGGAGGAAAAGAAATTTAATCTATCTTGTACAAAATAATAGAAATTCTGGAATAAATGAGATGTACATAAAGAGTGCATTCCACATGTGACCCGAAGTTTCTTCCAACTATACAATTCCAACATGGTCCTGTCAATTCATCGAAATGCTTCTTAATTGTTGAAGCGACTTCATTTTCCGTCGAACAATGACCCAACGCTTTCCTTACAACCTGAATTCAATTTTTGTTTTCCTGAATAACTTTACAAAAATGAGATATCCACACAATTCATTTCATTAAATTTAATACTGTTGCATATAAAGGTTTAGAACGATGGAAAATCTATTTTAACTTTAGCCAACTAAATATCCATTATGTATTTGTTCTTTATGGTTTACCTTTAGTTAAATTTATCAAGATCGATAGATATAAGCTTTGATAGAATTCAATTATTTAGTTCTTTTCTTTTACCGTTTAATTTTAACTTACTGACCTCTTTAACGACTTCTTGCAATTTTTCATCCAAATTTGTTGAACGTATGGTAACTTCTGGTGATCGAAATACTTTTGCCGTAACAGCATTGTGCCATCGTCGGGATTGCCGTCTAGAAAGAAAGACCATCGTATAATGCCGTAATGGAGTTAAAATAAAGTGTTAGAGAAAAGATTAATTACAAATGTTTTTGTAACATTCATTTCAGACTCTAAAGCCAACGTTCATTATCATTGTGCGTATGAAGTTAAATGAGTGTGAAGTTAAATGTAATTATTCACTGAAAAAAAAATTTTTTTTTTATGGGTATTTAAAGTTAGAAAATTCTCTTTCACTCTTTCTAGTCAATTTAATCCTTGGAAGAGTGGAAAATACGGTATGTTGGCTGATATGAAATATGAAGACTTTAGAAGTTCTACTTGTCTTTTTGTTCACTTACTTTTGTTTTTTTTATTTTTATTGATTTCGACAGAGATAGGAGGGTAGAACTAGCTAACAACTTCGACTAATTCAGCGAAAGTTTACCTTATTGATTGAAAATGAAGTGCAAACCTGAGCTGACTGAATCGTTGCTTACCAAACATAATTTACGCTTTCTATGAAACGGGAAATATCAATAAATTGATTTGATTTAAATTAATATTCATCGATGCTCATAATTCCCATCTTCTTCATCGTCAATTTATACGCTTCATTTGACAAAAAGCAACTTGTCCAAACAACATTCAAAAATTATGGAAATTAAATTTAAATAACTAATCTAAGCTGCAAATTCACCTTCAGTTGGATGAATAATGAAATAAAGTCAGTAACAGTTTTATAATTCAGAAGGTTTGCAAGAATAAATATTTAAAATTTGGTGAGATCAATTTGACCAAAATGATAGATTTAGTTGCAATGTAACTGATTGAAGCCATGAAGCCTTATTGTTTTTTAAAAAATAGATCAGTCTAATATTTAATTAATATTTTATTATTGACATTCCACTGCTTGAATGCTTGCTTTCATTCAAAAACAATTCATTTTATTTTTGATTGTATCCAATGCAATCCTGAAGAAATTTTCCTTCCATCACTCATAGTTTTTGTTTCTGTGTTTCCATCACAGTTATAAATCATTAATTACTCCTTATACTTTGTCTATTTGTTTACAAAGTAAATACTTTGAAAGAATCTGGATAAAGTCATATATCTTTCAAGTATCACATTCTATTTCACTCTTATCCAATTCTTCTACTGTATCATAATAAATGAGAACCATTAATAATGTGCACATTAAAAGTTGTTTAAAATAATGAGTATCTTGAAGATTATAAATTTAACAATTTTGCTACTTTAAATTCAATAAAGTCCGTCCTTATGTGTCAGAAAATTTTTTAGTTGTTTTTTCTTTAATTCAGTTAAATCTAACTTCTTCTATTTCCATCACTTTTGTAACTTATCATTAGTTGCTTGAACAGCCTACACAGCCTTTCTGCCTAATTTAAAATAAACAGTTAAACTTAATTGTTGGATGTAAGGTAGATGAGGTCATCCAATTTTTCAATAAGATTTAACATAAAGCAATTTCTGTAAATTTAGTCGCATGAAATGCAATGAATAATTTCATTAATTTAAATCAAATTCATGACATCATCTATATTTATATTTTAATATTAGTATTGAAATATATTAGCTGTAAATAATAGTAATTATTCAAGCCATTTTATCAATAGCAATTTTGGTATCAGCACATTATTGCTATATAATTGCTGTTTGCCTTCCAATTACTCGAAATATTATTCATGCTAACAAGTATCAAGCAAAAGTAAAATATAAATTGATGAAATCAACCTTTAATATCAGAGAATCGAAAACAGTGCTGCTTTCTGGTTTCTAATTAACGATATTAAGCATTCTTTTTTCTACAACCTTAAATTGTGTACCTATACTCCAGATGAAAGAAAGATTTATTCATTTCAAGACTAATCAAAAATATTGTATAAAATTTAAAAAAAAAAAAAAATTATTTTTTGTTAGACAGTATTCAGACAATATTCGTAAATCTTGGAATTGAGAAAGTGCCAAAAATACATTAAAAAAAAAAAAAAAAAAACAAAGACATGCAGGAAAGAAATAAAACTAATTGAATCATTGAAAGAAATAAATTAAAGAAATATGCGTGAATGTAGTGAGTGAAGAAGTGTGAAGAAGTCAAATTAGAGTTAGAGTTCATTCTGGGATAGAACATATAAAATCCATTAATTCCTCAATTTTCAATATTCATTTTTTATCATTTAACAGAGAACTAATACCAAAGTTCTTGTCTGAAATGAAAAACACTTATTGCAAAAACTTTAACCAAAAGTGCTTTATGCTTTTTAAAAACATTAATTCAGTATTTTTTAATATCAGTGTTGTACCATAGAATTCCTCTGCTCATTTTCAATTTTTCTTTGTTTTTCTTCTAATCGATCTTACTGATCAAAATTCTATAACTTAAACAAATAGAACAAACCAGTGGTACTATGAGATTACAAGTAACACAATTTATGTGTATGTGTAAAATCTAGCAGCAACAGTGCAACGACTGACGCCAATTGTTAAGTGTCGGTTAGCATCTGATGTCTAAGAAATCAGTTGTTATGAATATTGTTTTCCCAATTGATCAAAGATTAAAAAATCAAACTTTCAAACTTTCTGAAGAAGGTATAACAATTTAACTATCACTGCATTAATTTCAGTTTTCAAAAATAAGCTCTCAAATCTCCACTAAATTACACTTTTTTTGATTCACTTTTAGCCAAGTATACAGACTAATTTCTATGAAATTTAGTAGTCATCCAAGAGAGATGCTTACATTGACTGAAATACCATTATACAGTAACATTATTTTAAAAAAAATAAAAAACAAAAAAAAATCAAGGCCGCATGTCAGAAGAACTGAATGAAATGTTGAGGAGCTGCTGTTGAAGATGATGAATTATGCGGCGCATTTCTTCGATTGCACTTGCCTGCAAAATTCAACTGCATAAATAGCGCATTTTTTCGCACGAAGTATCATCTTTCGACTTTAAGTTTTGGCATTTAAAAAAAAGGAAAACTAAGGATTACGTACACTTATGATTTTAGCTTAGGAAAATAACGAATCAAGAAGGAGATTGAGAAACGAAAGTGAATTCATCAAAAGATTATATCTTTATACGGCTAGAATGAAAGATCAATAGTATATCAAAAGTTTTAGTTAAGAGATCGTTGAGCTGTAAATTGAGATAAAAATTGTAAATTGAGCTGTAAAGTTGAATAATAAGCATTGTGTTCATTGCACATATTTATTTGAAAGTTGCAAAAGAAATACCTAAGTTATTTCCAAAACAAAAAAAAAAAAAAAAAAATGAAACTGTATGATTCGCACCTGCATTAGAATGTGATTTTTAGCCAATAGCAAAGTGGCAATTTTAGACAATTTTCTCACCGATGTACCATTGGCATAAGGTAATATAACTCTCAAATCATCAAATGCTTCATTAAGATCATGCATACGGCAACGTTCACGTAAATTGATGTTTAGCCGAGTTGTTTGATTCACCGAAGGGATAGAAGACATTTGCAGATTCTGAAGTAGCTTTTGTTATAGATGAAAAAATAAATAATAATTTATTCTACGCCTTTATTAAAATAATATTCATCATAAATCTAAAAAAAAAAAAACTTACTCCTTAGCTACAAATTCTTCCAAGTTGAAATTCGTCAACTACTATCTTAATTTATTTCCTTAGCTACAAATTCTTCCAAGTTGAAATTCGTCAACTACTATCTTAATTTATTTCCTTAGCTACAAATTCTTCCAAGTTGAAATTCGTCAACTACTATCTTAATTTATTTCCTTAGCTACAAATTCTTCCAAGTTGAAATTCGTCAACTATTGTTGAATTGTTCTACCGACTACCGTAATCCTTAAACTGATAAAACAAAGTGAATGTTAAGAATGAATGCCTCGAAACTGAGCCAAACGAACTAAATTCAATGTGACAACTTATTATGGATATGAGAAAGGCGGAGATCTCTTCTCTCATCCATAATGACAGCATTCAAATATGAGTGGCAGTTCTGCAAATGTCGCACAGTAAGCAAACATTAAGCATTCAGCTATTGACCGATCAAAAATTTCAACACTTCTGTCAGTATATCACACTGAAATACATAAAAAATGTAATCATATAATCACTCACTTTAATTCTACGTTTAAAACTAGCTAAGTTCACGTGTAAACGTAAAAGATTAAATATTGAAATATATGATTAGATAGTGACAGCAGTATAACCCAACCCTGTTTATCAAACCTCAATTTTGCATATATAGCTATGTGTTTTTCGAATTGAATTGAAATTTTAAGAATCTTTTGGCAAATTTCGACATTGAAAAGCAGATGAACAGATGTCATTAACACGCTTGAAAGCACGTATTCCAAATTTAATTATTGGTCAGTTCGATAAATAAAATACAGAACAAAGAGATTTAGTCATAGATAATAATTGAAGTAGTAATTCTTCTCTGATCTAAATGCATCATCATTCAGAAGAATTGCAAACTGCAAATTAGATGAATTGCAAGTTACAAGAGAATTTCATATAGCATTTCATTTGCTTTGCAATTCTCAGTTCACCAATATCACTTTTACAATTCCTGAATTTACCGCCCCAGCATTAAAATAAATTACATATCTGCTAAGCATAACCACATCCTAAACATATTAGAATTATAATCTTCATTGGCTATGTCCTCGACATTTGCGCCCAATTCAGTCTTTCTCATTTTAAAATCCCTGCTCAAATCTCCGATATTTGCAATTTCAGTTAATTATGAAATCTCTCACTTTAAACTACCGCCTGCTTACTACTAAACTTCGTGTGCTGTGACACTATTGCTAGTTTCAACTTTATGTCTTACTTTTGTTGTTGTCTTCGGTTGTGTGTTGAGTGATGGCATAGAGTTTGTTGTAGATACGTGTGCTCGAGAATGACCTTTCTGTATGATATGATAAGACTGATAACTTCGACCACTAATCAGATAGTGAGCAATGAGAGAAACAACTCGTTGTGGATGAACTCGATGGTCCTTCATTTCACCAAGCACGAATTCATTCTGGTCAATTTCTGGAAGACCGGAACGGTCCTTGGTTGGTTATTTATTTTTATTATGCTACATAAATCATCTTTTTTTATCTTTTCTTTTTCATTATATGATTATTTCCCATATACCTTTCTGTTGGATGAATAGCCTGAAATGAAGAATAGCCTGAAATGAGAATAGCCTGAAATGGGGAATAGCCTGAAATGAAGAGTAGCCTGAAATGGAGAATTAAAGAGTAGTTCAGACTGCTCTTTACTTCAGGATTAAAGAGTAGCCTGAAATGAAGGATGGCTACAACTATGTGTGTGTGAACAGAGATTAGTAAAAGCTCAGTCATCTGACCAATGTACTGAAGAAAAATAGGCGAAATTTTGGTTTTATTTACACGTCAGTGACTTACAATAAATGTAATACTTTGTTATTTTGTTTATATCATGTACGTGAGATCAGTTGAACTGATAGTAAAGAGTACTGGCTAAGATCGATTAGATTGTTGTAGCTATCGAAGTAAGCAGTACAAGTGATAAGCAGCAACTTCATTGTTTGGAGAAGATGAATAATTTTCATTTTCACTAGATATCAAGGTTGAAAGGGTGACAAGTCAAAGAGTGTCAAGGGCAAAATTTTCAGTTTTACTATTCTTCTCATTGTGTAATATCAGAATGCTATTTTTGTGTTGGGAAAAAACTTAGCAGCAGTTAAGCGAATGCATTTTACCATTGTTTATGAAGTAGACTTATGGCTCAAAATTTTCCGCCATTGAGTACAGGAAGGACTTGGATAAAGATGAATGAAACGAACGTAAGCATTGGTAATGGAGTGGAATGGGGTGAAACCATTAATAAGTCTTCTGTGGTAAGTTCATTAGTGGCTATTGTAACTTTTTCCACAGATAAGTTAACTCCTTACCTCTGTCAGTCCTACTTTTTTGTACTTCTTGATTTCAGGATTGTCCGTGTCTGTGCTTATCGTTTTCTTGTTAAGCGTCTTATATGAAGCAGTTAAAGGTATCTATTTTGCTTTACTACTTTTCAGATTAAATTTATATAAATAATGTTGAATATTTAATAATTAAATCAACTAAATGAATCATATTTTGTTTTATCAAGATAACAGAAATCATGGCTTCTGGTCACGTAAATTGTATACTTTTTGTCCTTAGGATATAAACTCCAAATGTTTATTCTTTTGTCATTCTTTCGATATTAACGATGAAAATTCCATGCCTTAGATTTCACGTATCTTACTATAACACTATTTCAGTTCAACGCCTTACGAATTATCTAAACGGAAGAAATATTCATACATAGAATTATCTGTGCTTGATGAAATGCTTGTGCAGTAGATTTAGTATTTCTGCTTGCAGCTCTTCGTTTATATTTTGCTCGAAATCGTGCCGTTGAACTACAGAATCGACGTATTCAATCAAACATTGTCATTCGAGAGTCATCGGAACACATTGACAGTGTGAGCACTGAAATGATCTCATACTCGCCAATTCTCGGATTTAGTGGGTAGGTTTAAGTTTTCAGTTGCAATTAGAAAAGCTTGTCACTGAAGATTGATAAGGAAATAGTATTTAGTTTTTTAATATGGTTCAAACAGAAGAATTATAGTAAAAAATTGTGTAACTATTAGAAAGAATAACATGATATTTAACTTTCGTTTCGGTTGCAAACTTTTTGATGAGCGATGATTTTTTTACTGAGTTTTCCTGCGTATTTCACAGCATTGTTTTGTTTGGACATTGAACTCGTCGACTGTAGCCATGAGTGAGCATTTTAGCTAGTAATCAATCCTCATGAAATTGAAATTTATATTAGACTATTTTTTCCTTTTTTTTTTTTAAATCAAGTACTGTTTAAATAATATTTGGGGTTGTATTCATACTAGCGAATTTTTTGTTTTTATTTATTTCTGCTCATTTTTAGTGAAGTAAAGAGTTTCGTATTTCATAGATTTAGCTAATTTTACGCTAAATTGATGCAAATGCGTGTTTTAGTAATATTGCTGCAAGATCTTTTTTGATAAGCATGATTTACAGATTTCGGGCATTGAAACAACTTTTCACGTTTTACCGAATAGTGCAGTCATCGTTATATTTTGCTCAAATACTTCTGGCTTATACTTTAATGCTTATCGCAATGACTTTTAATGTTTGGATAATACTTGGGATTGTATTCGGCGAAGCGACTGGTTATTTTCTTTTTTCCGAAGAACCGAATTCTAATGAAAACATTGAAACAAGTTGTTGATGTTAGCGAGTTTTTTTCCTTTCCGTTTATTTTCACTCATTTTTAGTGAAGCAAAACACCTTGTTCTAATTACTATGCCAGAATCTTTCAAATTAACAGATGCTGTTCATTTCAAAACCGAAATGTTATTTCCAATAACAGTTTCAAAAAATCATTTTTTACCAATATGCTTAAATAGTGCTTTCAATCCAATAAGCTTTCTCTGCTTTTTTTTTTTGAAATTTGCTGTACATTGAATTTTAACTTTGTTTTCTTCTTTTTTTTTTTTGCTATCATCAATTTTGATTACATTTTGTTTATTGTACACTGTGCAGATTATTCGATTATTTCGTGAGATTTTATTGATCATTTAACAGGTGCTAATAAAAAATTCACAGTTTTTCCTACTCAGTAAAATTCATAACTTTCAGAAAAACATTTTGAAACGTTAAGACCTAAACAATATAAGAAAATAAGTGAAATAGCTTGTTGAGAACGGGCTCATCTCCGTTATTTCTATGGAAATGTTTTGACCAAATTCAACGACTTCTTTGATAGTCTTTTTTTTTTTTAATTTCATCGTATTCCCTATTTTCTTTGGGAATACGTTTTTCTTACAGCTAAGAAAAGCTGCAAAAAATAAAAAGTTTTTTTTTTTTTGTGGTCGTAATCCAATGGGAAATGAGAGAAAAAGAATTTCAAGAAATTTCAATTTCAAGATATAAAGACTTGTAAAAGTAATAAAATGTAGGCAACAGGAGCAAGTGTTACTGTTGAAGTTGCTTTTGTTTCATATTCATCTGGATTGAAAGATGTTCTCTTGGATTTTGTATCCTGACATAACTGCAATGAAATCAATTTAAAATTTCTTCCGTCTATTCTGAAAATATTCTCTCACATACGACAAAATTTTTTTTTTTGGTAAATCATACTTCATCTTCATTTCCTGGATAATAAACAATTCCATTAGTGCGGAATTTTTCGTAATTGCAGAAACCATTCGAGTCCATATGTTCTGAGCAATCTAAACTGATAGATGCATTTAATAGACAATTAATTTAAAGTGAATTTAAATGGAACTTCACAGTTACTTAAAAGGAGGCAATTCTCATTTTAAAACTATAATTTATAGTCATTTGTTTCATGAATTAACTCCATTAAGAAAAAAGACATTAATACAGTGAGGTATTTCATAAAATTTATAAAATAAATATTAAACAGATACTAACGGTCAAGTAAATCAGTAACGTCTTCTAACTGATCTTCAGTGAAATCGCGGTGATAATAGACCTAAAAAAATTTTGGATTAATTGCATTTTTAATTTATACTTACTTCAAAATGACTGGCTAACTTTGTTCAATGTACTCAAATATGACAAATTACTCACTTAATGTTTTTCAGAATTAATCTTAACAATAAACTATCGATCAGGTAATTTTCCTAAAATCTTGTTTCGTAAAAACTTCTGCAGAAGTTATTTCAAATAGTAAACAATAAACAATAAATACTTTCAATCCTGGTCCATTTGTTGTATTCCAGAGTTCAAAGAACATGGCAGCTGAATATTTTGGATATCCACCATTAATCAAAATTTTATGTTTAGCATCCAAAGTACACATTAATGCTGCTAGTGTTGTATCATGCTATGAAAATAACATTTGAAATAATCTAATGTTTAACTTTTCCTTAATTTTCAATAGTTTCAAACTGTAAATTTTCAGAAAATTTTACTTTTTCTGATTGTTGCATTATAGAAGATTTCGTTTACGAATTATTTGAACAGTTTTTCAAATGCATAGCTTTAGAGAAGGAAATAAATAGCATTAGAGATTATTTATGCTTTAGATTATTTATTTATTTAGAGATTATTTATGTAAATTCAAGTTATTGATGATTTCAATTTAGGAAAAAAAGTGATGATTCAGCGAGTGATCATAAATAGGAATGATAATTCAGGAAAATGATCTTATCTTTAATTGAAAATATAAACCGATCTTTGATACTTATATAAAAATACAAAAAAAAAGAATTTCCATCTTTTTTCTTGACTTATTTCCTCTTCTCAACTAGTGCCAATGCTTTTTAGATTTTATTATTGATTCTCAATTACACCGTTAATTTTATTTTACATATACTTTCTTAAGATTGTTATGTTATTTTGAATCGATCATTTCTATCAAATGATATAGGAATATTTCGAAAAGCACTTCAGACTTGCATATAGCTTGGAAATTTCAACAAGAATAATTCTAAGATTACTTACTAATCAAATTGTCTGATCTATCTTTAGTCAAATGTTTGGCGTCACAGAGATAAACCTATTTTAGACAACTAGGAATGACAGTTGGAGTTTAGTGGAACAAAATATTAGTCAATTCAAATTCTTTACAATTGCATGTAGTTGGCTAAGATATTATTGTTCTCAAGGTGATGCTATTAAAATTAATAATATACTTTTTTAACTTACCGCTGAATATGCATAATACTTGAGATCCTTCATCCATGTGCAATTAGCACTTTCAAAATTTTCGGATTTCAAACAATGCAGCTGTAATTCACAATAAAAGTGAAATATTTGAAAGTGAAACACAAATTTATAGATGCTTAAATAGTTAAGTTGAATTTCAACATTAACTTAACATCTATAATTAAACTATTTAAAAAATGGAAATTCAGTTACGCATTATTTTAACCTTCAAGTCGAAATGATTCAACATTGACCAAAGAATACTACCACCTCGAATTTTTCCAATTTCATGTTTGAAATCAACTTCCTCAAATGGTTGTAAATCTGTAATTTACTATTTCAATTGTCACTTTGCAATAAAATTTTTCGTGTAAATTTCTAAACAGTCATTGAATTTGTGCGACATTTCTTACTTAAACCATTTTCATAATTTTGAATTTCATTGTTTAATTGTTCCAATTGATCGTATAGAAGACTGCTAACAGGTGTAGTAAATGCATGCATTTTCTGAAAATTTGTTTTTATCTAATGGAAATGATTAACATTCAGATCCGATGATTCATCTATGAAAATGTAAAAAGATTATTAAAAAATTTCTAAACAGTCATTGAATTTGTGTAACATTCCTTACTTAAACCATTTTCATAATTTTGAATTTCAAAATGTAAACAAAGTACTGGCAAAAAAAAAAAAAAAAAAATTAATAAAGCTGTCTGAAATTAGCAATGAGATAGATAGAATAAAACTAAATTATAATATTTTTACAGTAAAAGGAGCCTTCTGTAAACATTAAATATTTTTGATTACGGATTTTGTAAACTCTATTATTTGGACTCAGATTCAGAAGCTATTCATCGATAATCATGATAATTGTCAACATGATTAGCCTTGATGACAAATATTCACTCAAACATCAAAACAGCTTGTCTTATGTGTTTTCCTGATTGCTTTAAATAGTTATTTCAAAGTTTTCTTAATTAAGGAAAATGAGAAATGAACGTTCACACAAACCTCACAATAAAATGTGTCTACACAGAACCATACATCAGTGAGTGCTATTGATTGTTTACATATTGTCTCCAATTCTTTTAAAACTTTCTGAAAGTTTCAAAATTATTCTATTTTCGTACATAATTCATATTCGCATCAGTTCCAAATTATTTTAAAAGAAATTACAAAAATTATACTTTATAAGAAAAAATACATTTTATAGCTTCCTTAATAATAATTATTTTTCATATGTTTTTTTTTTTAATACCACATAATTTTTCGTTAAATTTTTCCATTCAGGTGTTTGCTGTACCATTTTTGAGAGCCACTCTTGTCGTGGACAATTTGCATCAGGATTTCCTATCTAAAATTTTATTAATATTTTTTTTTTTTTTTTGTTGTTTGCTTGTTGAAATCTGAAAATTAAAAAAAAAATCAATACATGAAATTTAGAAGAACAAAGTTTTTTTATCGAAAAATTCTTTTCAATGATTATTAACTAGCTTTATCAATTGCATATAAAATATGATAAGAAAATACACTGAATGAAATGTATGCTAACGTAATCAGTTTCATCAGCAACTGTATGTATTGGGACTGCGACAAAACCGCGCGGCCATTCTGTCGCGTTCGGGAAGTCGATACCAATGCGCTCATTCTGAGATGGATTATTGTAAAATCCAATAAAATTTGCCATAGCGCTCATTAAAGTTCTGTTCACGTCCGTTGAGCGTACGTATATCTGAAGTGAGACAATATAATTTTGCGTTTTCAAGCAAAATACGTCTCTTCTAGGAATTGAAAAATTTAAAGTAATTGTATTTGAGTATTCATTAATTGACTCATTCTTTTGAAAGACTGATTGCAAAGAAAAAAAAGAATATCTGCATGATACATAGATTCTTTTTCCATAAAAGTTTGATCCAAAAAAAAATTTGATTGAAAGTGCCAATAATACACCAAATTTCAAAACAATATAATAATATACCTGATGTGCATCATAATATGGACTGAGAAAATTAAGTGAGTCAACATAACGATTGTAAATAATCTTTCCTAATTTAACTTGTTGTGCCATTCCCTCCTATAAAATTAAATTAGCAATAACAAAATTGCTAACTATTTCAATGGTTTTAATTTCAATTTCATGATCAATTTCATTCCTTCATCTTACTTCTTTATCTGTGTCATTTTTTTTTCTCTCTACTTTACTTTGATTAGGATTTGAAATTGCATTTCTGAATTGTATTTTTCCACCACCACTCTCTGAATATATTATATAGTTAATCAAAATAAGGTAAATATAATTTAAAAAGGAAAAATCAAAATAATACCAATTATCAATACCATAATAATATAACTTACCGCTGTAAGCTGTCCTTTTCCTTGAGGCCAATGTTGTGTCTGTATCGGATAACCTTTGCATGATTGTATAGGTGAACGATCACCATGTCTCCAGATCTTAATATTTTAGAGAAATTATAGTATACTGTCATAATTTTGATGAACAAACAGTTTTTGGTTAGAAATGATTTGCTCAGATTTTGAAATGTTAAAAAAAAAAAAAAAAAAAAACAAAAACAATGAGAAAAGAAAAGATGTATTAGCCATTTATTCTTAACAAAATCATCACAATATCATTAAATATTTTGATATCAGTTAATGTTAAATGATATATATCATCACTTATCCATGCAAAAATATTTTATGATTCATTTTTTAACTAAGCTTATTTTTTAAAGCTGATTTTTTTTTTTTTTTTTGATTGTGAAATGATTTGCAGCATAAAAGAATCCTTTGTTGAATAACTACATCTCTAAATGTTTATATGTATTTTTCGAGAATACAACCTAGTTCCCCTGCTACAGTATTTTGAAATTATTCCACATTAAAAAAATGAATTCATTTTAATAGTATTTCAATATGCAAGAATTACCGCCTGAAGAAGTAAAAGTTCATCGCATTCTACCAGTAACAGAATTGCAATAACAATTAACAATTGAATACTGTGCATTTGTGATCTAAAAGTGACACAACTGTGGAATTATAATGCAAATCTTACACATATTTTATATAATGAATGAATGCTTCTTAGGAAATTATTTTTTTTTTAAAGCAACCAATTGCTAACATTTGCATCTTTTAGAATAGAATGAAAATATTAAAGTGATTAATAATTTTGAGAGATTTAAAAGATTAATTGATGATTGTTCTTTTAAAATATCGATGTGAGTAGAATTAAACAAGCTATAAATGGTTCCACAATCAATTTAAGTAATTTTACTGAATGATATTTAATATTTGGTATTAGTTTCGATAGTATCTACTAGAAGGATAACATTCCGGTTATCCATGTAAAATATAAATAATATTAACATCTAAAGAAAAGTCAGTTATCATTGAGCGTTATCGGCAGAAATGATACTAGTTCTTTTCTTTTCTTTTTTTTTTTTAAAAAAAAAAAGTTAAAAAGTGCCGCTGTAATTTTAAATGTGTTCAAAGCAGCATGAAGAAATTGCATTATTCTAGTTTAACTCTGAAATATATTAACACTAAATACGCTAAGAAATGCAAATACGCTAATAAATATGTTTGAAAAAAAAAAAAAAACAAATGAAAAAAAGCAAAAAAGAAAATAAAAAAAAATAAAAAACCAGTCGTAACAATTACTCGGCTATTTCCTATCGTTGCACTTTTTGTCGGCGGCGAATAAAAAGTCAATATATATTTAATAGATTTATATATAAATTCCAAAAAATCCCCAAAATAGATGTGAAAGGTAATAATAGTATATTTATTGCATTGTTTTTTTTTTTTTTTCTTTTGCTCTGAGAGATCAGAAATTATATTTTGTCGTTAATATTTGTTGAATGTGAAAAAGAAAAAATTTTTTTTCATAGCAGAGCAAAATAAAGATTATATATTCAGACTATCAGAATTATTCAGTTCGAGTATAAAAAAACGTTGGAGTAAAAATAGTAGCTTCAAAATATTTCAATTGAAAATTTCGGCAATTTTTCCTTCAAGAAATGATGGATAATGTTAAGTTCAAAGAATGCCGACCGATTAAATTTTTCGCAACATTACATTGCTTTTTTGCAGTTAATGAGATAAACAGTAAGAATGTGCAATGAACAAATTTGATCAACATTTTTGTTTAAACACAAACCTTGCACAAAGTAAATAATTAAACATGTTCACTGATATGATATGATATGATAAAAATGTACTTTTGATTAAACTTGATTAAATCATAAAACATTTTAAAACAGGTTCTTCTTATGAATGTTCCATTAATTTATTTTATTAACAGTATTAAAGTCCTAGGAAATGATTTTGAAATGAAATATAATATCACAGTTGCAAGGATAGAGAAAATCTTGATGATGATACAAGAATAAAATTCTTGCACATATTGTTAAATGAATTAAATGTTAATTTAATCTTTTTATATTATTTGCATGTATGTCGATTGATTGCCGTTTTTACCAACATTTTACCGCTTATGTTGATAACAAAATAGTGTAAATAAAAAAACATCAAATTGAATAATATGCAGTAGTTGTAAGCTAATGCACTTTTCAACGTACTATTGATAAAATGTAATCATTATCATGATTATTACTGATATCCCAATCAAAACAGTAGTTGAATAATTATGCATTATTTTCACGATTTAAGGATACTTTAAAAGATTGAATGAAAATGTTGCCGTTAATAAAACTACTCTTAAAGGGCTAATTACAATATCAGTAGATAAATGTAACGATATATATATATATATATAGATAAATTATTTTATGCATCTATCATGTATAAACATTTTTAATAAAACGATTATATTAAATATGCAATATGCAAAATGCTTTAGTTTCCTTTAGAAGACAAAATCCTTTTTTTTTTTGTAATACCCATCGGACTATTTCAGCTGAGACATACAAAAGACACATTATGCTAAATGGTCTTCGAGTTTGAATAAGACCCCTTTTAACTGTATCACGCTTCAATTTCATTAAATCATTGAGAATTGATAATAAATAATATTTATTTACAAGATATATCCAAATTGTTTTGCAATTAAGCAGTGTATACTCATTTTCAGACACTGGATTCATTACTGAAATATGATGAAAAATTTTGTGACATAGTTAAAAATTGATAAATCATACTGCTAGAACATTCGACAAATTGGACGAAATGAAATCAAACTAGCAATATATCAAATTTGCAAAAGAACCAAGAATGTTGGTAAATATATCAGAGAAAATCTGCACCACAATAACAGCAGCAAGCATCCCGATAGCTTTCTCAATTTGAGACTTAATGCACTGCTTGTTTGAGTAATCTCGGTATTCCTGCTTTGAAAGTCTATTTCCAATTAGAATTGATTGCTATTACTTCGTGATGAAGTGGGGAAAAAAAGAAATCAGTGCATTAGGAGCTCAGTTATAGAATACGCTTGAAAATAATATATAAAATCACGATTAGTGTGAATTGTTTTGAGTATGTACTATATTTGCAATCGGAGAAAGGAAAGTAATGGGTACAAGAGGGCACGAAAGAGATTAAAATTCAAACAGACAAAGAAATGAAAATATTTATTACAAATAATCACAAACATCTACAAGGACAGTATGAGTAACGTAAAAAAAGTAATATTAAATCAAATTTTCAACATTGCTTAAATAATTCAGATAAACCATAAACGAATGAAATCTATCATGATCCCAAATTGGTCATACAATATTTTATGTAATGCTAACAAATAGCAAAGAAGAAAAAATGCACAAAATTATGATTGATATGAATTTTTTTGAGTACTATATTTGCAACTGAAAAAGGGGAAATAATGAGTAAGAGATTTCGATATACAAATAAACAATGAAAGAAAACTGAAAAAAAAAATCACAGATAACTTTGAATATCGCGGAAACGAGATTACGCAAAACACACAATTATGTGTTACAACCGAATAGTTTACATATAACAGTGACTTGATTGACTGATAGATGCAATCTAATTGGTGATAGGATAGTAAAGCAGCTGGTTAAAATAATCAGTAATATTATGCATTCTAAATAACAAAATAATTTTGATTCTTACTCACTACACTTCTTCATCATCTAAACGACTTCTTAAAATAATCAAACTTTGACTAGAAACATATTTTCAAAAGGCATTTTATGAATGATTCGCATTAATACCAACTGAACTTTTTTTTTCTATCTGAATTTGAAATTTAATAAATGAAGCAACACAAATATGCTAAAACTGGCATAGAAATCAACTGAAAAAATCACATTCTTAAAAGCATTAATCTCAAAATATGTATTCAGTTGTGATACTACTCTCCACAATAATCTAGTAATTTTCTTCTAAGGATCAGAAAAATTTGTCATATGCTTGATACACTCCCAAAACCTTAACAGTGAAGTGAAGACACTGGAAAGGAAAAAGATTCTAAATAATTTTTATCTTTCAATTTTCATATTACAAGTGCAAGACTTTCCACTTAATAAATAATTCATGGAACGATGAGAGAACTTCATGAAGCAGCTATATGAAATGCGCATGCAATTACACTACCAAAAACTTTTCAAAACTCTTGAATTCTTAAATTTCACTTTACCTTTCAATCACTCGACAACAGTATCATAACTGAAATGTAAGAAACACACACTAGACAATAACTAACAGTACTAGTAAAAGCGCTAACATTTGGCAGTGAAAAGAAAATTAAAAAATTTTTATCAAAACCAAGACATATTTGAAAGAAAAACAACAACTTGATTCACAGCGATGTGCCAATTGTGTTTTTGAAATAGATTGAAGAAGCGTACAATGAGCACACAATGAGCAGGAAATAGTGCATTTTAAATGCAATCTTTGGTAGCAATTCGGGTTATTATTGCGTCACTTATTGTTTCTTCGTTGTATTCGGATTCCTTCACTTTATATAACTAGAAGTTTCCATCTCTCATTACTTTAAAAACATCAAATCACGGAATGATAGTAGAAGTTAGTTTCCAAGTTTTGATAACAATTCTTCATTTGCATTCAACAATGAAAAATTCTATTAAATAGTTATTAAAATAAATAACATTTATTTTGCCTTAACAGTAACATCTAGTAATTTATAATAACTTAACAAATTGATTTAGCCCTTCACACCTCTTTTAAATCTCCTATTCAATTTAAAGAAGAATGTTGTTATGAAAGTGCTCAAAATAATGACTTCTATTGTTACCTGAATGTACCGAAATTCTCCAAAAAAAAAAAAAACATCCTAAGATCATCAAAGTGTTGCCGAAACAAATTTTGACATAAAATTTCAAATCTTCATCCAACCTTTTTAATACGCTCGTAATCCGCCAACTGAGGTAATATGGTCATCGGAACTGGTTTGCCATCAATTTTCTTTGCCACTTTAACCATTTTTTCACCACTTTCGTCGTCAAAAATACCAACCAAAAGGTTACGACTTTCTTCCGCAATTCCAAATGTTAATAATGATTCTAATATCTACAAATATATTTCAATTTCCGATTAAATAGTATGAAACGATAATACCCACCAAAACATAAGCAATGTGAAAACAAATATAAAATTGAAGTTGTGTCTAAAATGTCTAAAATCCGGAAACATTTCACAACGCTTTATAAATCCCAAATCTTAACCCGAAACTTTGCTTTCCTTTTACTGCCTTCATGTTAACAAAAAATTTGAAAAAAAGACTGACACAATTTCACCTTAAAAAATCGTAATGAAAAAGTAAAAAAGAAAAAGCGACTTACATTACGGTCAGGTGATAAAGAGTATATCAGTTCAGCATGAAGCGTTCGCGCTGAAAGTCGATTATGTGCAGCTTGGTGAACAGCTTTATTTGCTGCTGCTAAAAGTGTGAAAACCTCCAAAACCTAGAAAAACGTCCCGTTTAAAACGAATAATATCGAAACAAGGATCTTTTTTTTCCATTATTTTTCCTCAGCAAAACTACATTCAGTAACGCAATACAATTAGAAAGAAATCTTATCGTACTACAACGATACGCTAACTTTAATCAGTAGGTAAACGTGGCCCATATTTGAGTTGCTGAATTGAATTTAACAAATAATTATAACAAAAACTATGATAATGCCAATCGGAAAAGCAGCAACCATGTCAGCCATGGTGCAAACTGCTTCTATTCTATTTTGAATAGAATTATTTATACAATAAAAATTAATGAGCAACTAGAACAGTTGTTAAGTGTCTTTATTAAAAGAAAAAGCTGTCATAATGATAGTAAGGGGTAGTTGGATTATGAAGGGAAAATTTTATGTAAAACATTATAGTCAATACTGAAGCAGTAACAGTTATTAGATTAATTAAAGCGGAACACTAGATCACTAAAGAATTATAGGAAATGAGAAGACCAACGCAAGTCAAATAGTGCACCGAGATAATAAAATTGGTGCATGAACAACAAGATCAGATCGACATGCTATAGATCAACCAATGGAACTATGAACTGAATAACCTACGAATTCAATAAACATTAAACTCTCTTGTTCTTGCTGTATCACAAAGTTTTGTTATGTTAAAAGTACTTTGATCTTTCTCAACGGCTTTTGCCAGCTACCAAAATTTAGAGATTGAGAAGATCTTTAATGGCTCTGTCTTTTTTTTTTCAACTCATGCATTCATAAGCTTAAAACGATAACAATTTTTTTTTGAGTCGGCACAAATTTTCACAACTAGCTGAAAACAAAGATCAGCTGCTCTTTCAAATTTCATTAAACCAAATTAATTTAGCTACTAAGTTTGAACTAGATATTGATTACCAATTCAGGTTTGATCAAAGCAGCATCGATTGATCCATCAACTAGTGCTTGTCTCAATTCGGAAGCATTCTTCACATCGGTAAACAAACAAACGCGAAAAAATCGTCTCTGCGAAATGTCATACGGATCTGGCAAAAGTTCGAATAACCGAGAGGTGCCTGATTTCATTCTTTTCTTCCCTCTGCAATATATCACTTATTATTACAAAGCAGGAAAAGAATTTAATGCAAGAAGTAAAGTATGGAAAATAATATTAAATATAAAATATGGTGAAAATTGTCCAAATTGTTTTTTCTTTTTTGTTTGAATATTCACTGATAGAAATGGAATCCAACTATGAGTATTTAAAGTTCACTGACAGTGAATTTGTAAACAGTCCACCGTATAACCCAACACCTGCCTGAATAGCCTGAATAAATTCCCAGGTGTAAGTTCAGCTCTTACCGAGACAGAATGTACAACAACAAGAAAGAGAACATATTTATGGAAGATAATTAGTAATGAAAAGATTGGAAAATAGACGCTTAGTCTGAAATTGAGAATGTCAAAGACTACGAGTAGATAGTATAGAGGTAGAGATGAGAGATATTGGTGACAACTATTTTCAGCTCGACGAGAACGCTCATTTAACGGAATGGTGACAGATTCTCACGTGTTTTTGACTTCTGAATGTGATTTTGAGTTTGAGAGATGGATATAAAATGAAATAGAGAGAAAGGTAAAAGAAAAGTTAAAAATATTTTAAATTGATATGTATTTGAGGAAATCAAAAATGCTACGATATTTATTTGTATTTCGATAATTAAATATTGAATTGCTAACTTTCGGAAGCGAAAAATATAGTGCATTTCTCTTATTACATTGGAAGGTAAGTAATGTTGAAAAATAAATTTAGAAAAGAACTTCCCTGCTGATTTAAGCTTCATTAGATGATAAATGCATAATAATTGAAGTTATTTAGTCAGATATTTCATAGTGTGAAAGTTTTCTTACCTTGTAACGAGTGACATTGTTCCGTGACAAAATATGCGAAAAGGTATCAGTTGTTACAGGGAATAATGAGAAATGATTGTTGTTTAACAGTAAATATTTTAAAATATATCATTTTGTGTTTATTTGTAGAAATTTTGGAATTTTTATCACTTTTATTGGATTTTACCACTTTTCCAATATATGAACTGAAATTAACACTGCTTATCTTCAGACTGACTTTTGTGAACGTTACGGAAATAATCACTTCAAACAATACAAGGAACAAAAAATAAAGGAAGAAACAGGAAGAAGTTTTCACACAATGCAAATCTATCGGCTGATTTTTTGTGTTATTTAAGGTGCAAACAGTGTTGAAATTTCTGGAAAGTCTTACAAAAACACTTTTGCGATTCTCACACCTCTACCAATATTTAGTTTTTTACAATATTTTAATAAAAGAACAAAATATTCAAAATAGGACAAATGTCATCCTTGCAAAATTATCGAATTAAGCTACAATTAACTTAATTCATTTCATTTTTGATACAGTATAACTAATTATTATTGATTATTGATATTCTTAATAGCATTGTTTAAATAGGTAACTTTCATAGGGTTTCACTATTTCACACTAATAATGTAATTCAAATAAATAAGCTATGTTGAGAGGAAAAAAAGAAATTTTTTGCTTCTGATCTTTCATTTTCATTAAAATAGCAAATAATTTTGCTTAAAACATTTTCTCTTGCATACTGCAAAGTAAAGTGAATTACTAAATAACTAATTTAAATCTGAATGGATAAGACTGGAATGGAATATACCAACGCACTTTGTTGAACTGAAGAGTGCCATGAAAACTTCAAACTTCATTCCTAGCAATATCAATAGATCAAATAGATCAAAATTTAATGCATATCAAGATTTAACATAAGTACAGCATATTTTATACTAATCCACATCCCTGAACAGACTACTAAATTAATTTATATTAGATTAACAATAAAGCGGAAAAACTGGTTGTTGTATTTAAGGTAGTTAAGGTATTTTAAGGTATAAAAAACCATATGGAAAAATAAATGTGGAAAGGGTGTCATGAATAGGGCAAAAAAATTGATCAAATTGAATCAATGCTGCCCATTTCTGCAGACAAAAAAAAAAAAAAAATATTTTAAACAGAAAAAAAGCAATATTTCTCGAAGTTAAATGTCATTTTCTATTCAAACATTTCCCTCTTATTATTGAGTAAATAAATGAAACTGAGAATGAAATGAGCAATTCAATGCTTATATTTAAATGAGGAAATTTTAGTGCGATAAAAATGTAATTTACTTTCTCAGTATATTTCCAAGAAGTAAACGATATACAAGTAAATATTTTGGACTGCTTTAAAGAGATGATTTCATTCCTTAAACCAAACAAAATTTGTTTCAAAAAAGAATCAACTTTTGCAAATTTTAAAGATTAGAAGTTATTAATCAAAGTATGAAATAGAAATATCTGTCACTAAGTTAAGACTTACCAGATTAACTAACAAATGACTATCGTTATTTTCACAGACAAATAACTTTGCAAAAAGATTTTCTTTTTTTTTTTTGGAACATTTACAAAATAGTTTTTAATGCAATCCATTTTTTTTTTAAAGTTAATGTTGCATAATAAGAAATAATAATATTGTATCCTACTCGTATAGTTAAAATGATTCGAGTACGAAATGATTGAGATTATTATAAAAAAGAGATCAAAAAAAAAAAAAATGAATGACCCATTTACTTGCTTAATTTGTAGCAGTAAAAAATAGTGGAAAAATTATTAGTCTTTTTTGAAATATAATAATTAAAAGACTAAATAAAATAAGAGGAACTATATTATCGTCGTCATGGAGCAGATGTCTATGAGATTACATTCATATAAATGAACCATGTGCTTAAGATATTGACCAGAACCAATTTAAAGAGGCAAAACAAATGAATGCATTTGACTATTCGATTTCTTTTCAAAAGGATAATCTAATATCGTTTTCTCTTAAGGATTTATGCATGAATTGAAAATTGAGTGTAAATTTTTTAGACCAATAGAATAGTACAAATAATTACAATTTAATTTAGCCAAATACAATATTCAATTAGCACTACCTATTACTATAATTGTTGTTCAATCTACACTAGCAGAAATGTCATATAGCTGGGTCACATCCATATATCACTTCATTTTTCAACAATCAAACCAAGTTTATTTAATGTGTAAGAAATAATCAAAACTTGATTAATTACATTACTTTTTTATACTTCAGCATTATTTCATACTTAAGGAAAAGTAAGAAAACGCAAAGACATCAAAAAACATACTGGAAAAAAAGAGTAGATAAATCAATAATTTTAATTGAAATGCACATTAGAATGCAGCAACAGATGTTTGTTTGCTATTTTAAACTAATCTTTTCAAATGTTTTGCTCCTCATACAGAAAAGAAGATTCATTGCTTACCTTTATGTTTTTCAATTGATCAAAAAAAAAAAAAGCATTATTTTTAAAGATACTTAAATGCAATAACATTTTACTGCTTTTACTTTTAATTCATTCAATTTTACAATCTTACTAAAATTTTAAAGCAAAGAAAACATTATTTTATTATAAACATGAAAATATTGGAAGTAGAATCATAAAATGTTGACTTAATCTTAAATATTATTTATCTAACCTAATTATTCGCTTCCAAATGATTCATTTTTTTATGAGATTCCTTAGATTCAGAAATAAAAATATGCACAACTTACTTATCCTTAAGTACCTCAACCATTTCCTTAAATTTTCTCTTCAATTTCGTTCAAAGTCAGAAGCCACCATTTGATCATTTTCTTTTTTTTTTTTTTTTTGATAGCGTCAATTTAGAGCGAGTTTCTCAGAATTTCTTTTAATATCCCTGAAAAGAGTGAATTTTCTGAGTAAAAAAAAAAAAAATGGAAAATCATAACAGAGTACACAGACCTTAATGGAATTCATTGATAGATTATCGCAATTTTTTTTTTATAAAATCCAAAATACTAAACATTATTGATTCATTTCTTATATGGTATCTTTTTAAAGCTGCAAGTAACTCTTACATTCTTAAAAGAGTTTTAAATAAAATTAAGCAAAGGCAGGATAACCATCTTCTAGCCAGTTCTTCCCAACAATGTTATCAGCCGTGCAAAATTTTCCACAAGTCGAGAAGTAAAATGAATTTAATTAAAGGAAATATGTCCAACATGTTTAGCAGAGAGAAGCAAAATAGTTAATTTATTCAGGACATGCTAGCATTAAATTTGCTTACGATTATTTTCAATTGATTAGTAAAAAATTATAAACTTGAAGAATTTTATGTCAGAACAATTCACCAAATCACCTACTCGTTCGAATACTTCATAATAAGACCATAGAAAAACAATAAATGTAGAAATTCAAGCTTTAATCAATTTTGTGCAACTTTTTTCGTGCCCAATTTAGATCCTTGATTTCAAGTCTTTTTAATGGACACATTTTTTCCCAATTAACTTACTCTTCCATTCTTTCTTTTCCTTCTTTTTTTTTTTTTTTATTAATTAACCAATTGACTTCTGAAAAGCAAATTTCAGCAATGTAATTTACTAAATCATCTCATTACAAAGAATTTCTACTTCAGGAATTTGAGGACTGAGAGCGAAAAGGTCTCACATTGTAAATACTAAATGAACTGAGCCACAATGCCTCATCAAAGCTGGGCAGCCTTTAAGGCCTGCTAAGGGACTAGGCTACCACATTGTTGTCTATGTTCACAGTTGCAAATCTATCACTACTGCCAAAACTTTAGATATTGCTTATGGCCTAGCAGTAGTGGTCATGCTAGGCGCATGACATATATGGCCTGGCCCATATCGGTTGCAATTCATGTCTCAAGCGTGTCACATGTCACCACATTCAGATAAAACAGTTCTGGGTGGAAAATCCTATGATGAAATTTCTAGTTATCATAGTGAGTTCCATATTTTAAATTATAAGGAGAAGTCAAGGAAAGGAAGAAAAAAGACAAGTTGTGAGGTAAAAGTGAGGCTCAAGTAATGAATAGGCCTGGAATGTTCCCTTAACACTGATTGTTTTAATAAAGGATGTACTTTAAAAATTTTCTAAAGTATATTTGTTTTTAGAGGCAATATTTGATAGTTTAAAAGCTATTGCCACCGTTATTGGAAGAATTTTGAAAAGGTTTTTATGAATATTCATAGTTGCGGAAATGTTTAAAAAACTGAAACTATTCGCTAAAAATATCAGTGAAAGAATGGAAAATAAATCTCATTGGGATGTTGAAGTGTAAAATCCGTAACCTACATTCCAGATCAAAATGTTAAAAGCTTTAATAATAGGTTGAAGTGATAGATAAGAGAGGTAATTTAAGTTAAACATCAAAAGGATTATTAATCTAGAATTAATCTGTGGATTAATTTCATTTTATTATTCGCCATTTTGTTTAAACTGTCTAAAATAATAATCAAACATTCCTAGCTACGAATGTAATTCATTTTTAAAAATCATTCTGATACCACTAAAGTAGAGAATGGATAGAAGTGGAAATGATTCGACGTAATAATAAACTGATAGAAAAGAGAATGGGAACAAAATGAGATTAATCATTTACAAAGTGATAAATTCGAAAACATAAAATTGAAATGATTTTAATTGAAATAAGAGGAATAAGCTATCACATCTAAATTATACAGCAAATGAATTACATTATCGAATGTTAAAACAACGTCTTTTAGCACACATATATTTCACTTCTACCACTCAATCATTTGTCATCATCATTTAGCGTAATAAACAATCAAAGCAATCGATCGTAAAGAAATACATAAATAAATTGAGAAGAAGAAGAAAGTGTGATAAATTTCATTGAAATATTTTATGCTCAATTAATCTAATCTCGACATATATTTCCTCCTATGGTTACATACAGTGAACTTCCGATTTTAGCGCAATGAAAATATTAACGAAATGTTTTAGTTTGAAAATAATGAATGAATGAATAGTAAAACAGGTAGTAAACGGTGAAGAATAGATGTTTTGATGATTAAAAAAGTGGATGATCAAAGGTATGTAAACATAGGTATCGGTAAATGGCACTACATAGCATGAAGTAATGATATACATGTAAACATTTTCATGCTGTTATATTTAAAGGATGAAGATTAAGTTACAATTTCCTAATTATCATTTGTTGAAGAATTAATAATTATATTCTAAAAATAAATATTCTAAAAATATTTATACATTGTGAAAAGTGAATACAAACGCGTATTCAGAATTGAAAGTCCTTAGGCTATAAAATTATCAATACTAATATCATATCAGTCAGATTGATAAGCAAAGATACGAACTAAATCCAAATTAAGTCTTAAAATGGCAAATAATTACTATAAAAGTTCAAATAAGCAATTAAGCAATTAAAAATAATTATGAAAAATCTTGAAATTATTCAGAGATTTCCTGTTTCAGCGTAGTTTCAATCGTTTTGTATGTTTTCCTGAACTTATTTTATGCAGTAATACTCCAGATTTTATCAAATATTATATCTTCCTAAATCTCTTCGAACTAAATTGTTATTTTGTAATGTTACGAAAACATCTGTCTCTCACCTGAATACTAAAACAGATGTGAAAGTGAGTTTCCAATAAGTTTGCGTAATGACCATCATCGTAACTCAACTGCATGTTGTGATGAAAGAAGTAGAATTGCATTTAGATGTGCATGCAGCAGGATTTGCAATTCTTGTTTATTCTGCGATGTAATTTCAGGATGGTACGATGTTGGCGGGGAACATTAAAACAACCTTTCGGTATAAAACTATTCTGGAATATTCATCACGCCCATCCACGATTTCTCAACAAGACGGTTCTCGTCGTTAATAATGATGTCACAGCTGCTTTTCACTTACTTAACAGGTTTTCCTCTTTCACTTACTGAGGATATTAAAATTCGCTTATTAGATATATTATTATATAGGAAATTTATGCTTCACATTCATATGATCAATAAATGGTGAGAACCAGGTTGAAGGATTCTGAAATATTATAGACACTTTTTTTTTCTATAGTGTTCTGACAAATAATCGCATAAAATAGTAAGCTTCATTGTTTATTCACGTGTCTTGAATGGTTTTTTGGTGACTCTGTACCACTGTTGTTTCTTATGATGTGGATTGTAATTATATTCCAGTTCAGGTTAATGAACAATGAAGGTTTGCTGGATATTTTACGAAAAACACGATATTACCGAAAACCGTACATGCAACGGAATGAATTATCGAGAGAAATTTCTAAGGCAATCATCAATGAAGATATGCGAAGGAAAATACAGTTTCTGATGCGAAAAAATCGACCCGACCCATATCCAGGCCAAATGACTACGTGATTGCTGTCGTAGAATGCTACAGCACTGGAATATTGGGCTTATAGTGATTAAGGAATGAGCTTGATGATTTTGCCAAAAATAATTCAGTAAGAAAAGTGTTCGCTAGGCTTTTATCTGTGCTGAACTACTCTATATTTTTCTGTCGCTAAACTGGTTCTACGAATCCTCTTTCTGGACGATTTATTTAGTGTTATCATGAAAACAATAGATCTTTACTGATGCACAAAAATTAAATCTTTACAAAAATTAAAAAACCAAACAACAGTGTTAAAAAATTCCCTTCTGTTTTAAGTACCAATTAAGCAAGTATTGAATTTTCTGCCCGAATTAAAAAGTTTTGGCTATTGTGTATGCATCTAAAGTGTAGTTTTAGCCCTTACTGTTGGAAATAATGAACAAAGTTATGGAACATTGCAAGTTTTAGGAACTTTAATGCAAATTAAGGAAAATCGGGCAATCTTTTTTTTTTACTTTAGTCCATCCTAGTTTTGATAGTTTTTATGTTAACTTTATCTTTAGTTATTGTATAAACGATCGCACCCCAACCGGAAGCTGCATCACGTTCCATTGCAGATAGCATTGACTGCGCTGTAGCTTCGAATAACTCATCAGGATTCATGCCTTCTTTCCAGAATCCTGAAGTTCCACCAAATTTGAAAAACCACAATATTCTCATGAATGATTTTCAAGTAAACAGCCTGAAATCCTCTACTTAACCTTAGCAAAAGTATAGTAACTCACGGAGCAAAGTTATGTTATTTAATCGACCCTATATGAGGAGAAAGCATAAGTTCATGCTTACCACAAGATGATGCATATGATTAGCAAAGGTCAAATATAATCATTATAATATAAAACAAAATAACCTTCACAGACGCCTAATAAATATTCAGTTCCGGTCCCCACAGCAACAAAGTCGTTAGGGGCAGAAATACAACCTATGGTGTCCATGGCACAAATATACGGTTTATTGGTTGTCGGGTCGAGTCCTGCTATCAGTGGTTCCGTAAAATAACCACCGAAGCGATGTTGATATAACAGATTCGATACCATCACAGCTGCTACCTAGAAAAAATCAAATTTGATAGACTGAGTCAAGCTTTCTGAAATCCAAAAGTACCTCCACTGAGAATCAAAAACCATCTCTTCTACCCAATATCTTCAATAATTCCAAGGACGTGTTATGATTAAATGCCACATTTGTTTGAGATTTTCCATACTTACCTCAGGTTTTATCTTTCGATTCTCTCTTAATTCATATAGATTCTTCCGGAAAGTGATTTTGTCAAGAACTGTTTTAGCATCTGAATGGAATCCACCTAAACCAATATAAACTTTTTCACCCAATTTATGCACCTGCAATATAAAAGGATCAAATTTTAATACAAAAAAATTAAAAAGGCAGGTGATTTCATCCATGTTAACTAATTTCAACTTCAAATCCAGTAAATTTTCAGTCTATACTTGCCTTCCTTCTTATCCTACAAAGGTGAGGAATTATAGAATTAACATATTTTATACCAAAAAAACTGAAAAAATTACCTTCTTCATATTCGTAGCGATTGTTGTCATTTGTTCACCAAGTCGCAAATCAGAAGCAATGCAAACACAGTCGTTCCCCGCCATCGCCAAAATAGTACCACCACTATAGCTCATAATAGACATGATGAATAACCGAAGATAAGTTGACGAAAGAAGTAATCCTGAAAAGTTACTCTGAAGAAAAAAGAAACTATTTTTTTTAGGAAGAGTAAATAGAAATAACCCGAAATATAGCACTTTGAATACGATAGCACTGATGCGAAGCTATTTACTTCCAATCTAAAATATGAGACTAATTTTTCACAATAAGGAGAAATAGAGATCAATAATTTTATATCTTATTCATTCTCCATAATTCTCTATCTTCACGTTTTTCTTGAACCATTTGAAACGTTCGTGAAAGCTTGAAAACATCTGAAAAATTTAGAAAAACGAGTTTCTCTACAAAAATATAACAGTATTGATTGCCTTCATATCACATTTCTTATAGAAGCAACAAAAAACTTTGTAGAAGCCAAATCAAAAATGGTTTAATGCATTCCATAAAACTACTAGAGCATTGACACCAACGTTGTACAAATTAAACACTTCCAAAAATACTGAACAAATATCATCGAATTAAAAAAAATTGCACAGTTTTCATAGCAATTTGTCTTGTGCTCCTCATTCATTAGGTAAATCATTAGGTAGAATATAATAAATGAAACATGAAGCAGAAAACTTTTTTGATTAGCACTGGTTGTTTAGGCCAATATTTGCATCCATTAATAAATAGAGAGAAAACAATGACAATTAAATTAAAATTCCAAACAGCAATATAAGCAGTTTTCTATTATTTCTTCAATAATTTTGAAACGCTATATTTCCAAATCATTATATTGCAATTTTTAAATAATTTATGATTCATTCAGATAGTTACCCGGTAATGTACATTCGCGATACACTGTTTAAATTTAAAATTATTATTGCTTTTATTAATAAATTGCTTCTTTACATTTAACCTTCTGTATACAGCTTTAAGATCCTTAATTTAAATAAGTTAAGAATCTTGAACATTCCTGACTGCTGTTTGAAATGTTAACTTTTTGGACTTTTGAATAACTAATCCAGAATCCAGAAAACGTGCTAAACAATAATTGCTAGCTGATACGCTGAAAACTAATCCTTAGCACTGCCATTCCATTAAAACAAAATAAAAAACAAAAACTAGAAAGACGAATAAGAATCAATAAGAAATGCGAGCAGGTAATGACCGTCCGCGTTCAAAATGTCCATTCCAGTTTATATGATCTCCAGCACTTGCTGTTCGTCGGCGCGGCATTGGTGATGCTGAAATTGTGATCAAAATTGAAATGATGAAAGAAGAAAGATTAAACAAATTTTACCTTGATTTACACAAATTCCAACAGTAAGCTCACCGCATTGTGGATGAAGCTCTCAATTTCACAGAGCCTATAGAAAAAAAAAAAAAAAAAACAAACAAACAAAAATGATCAACAATGTAAATTAATTTGCTTTTATATTCGATAACTAACGTGAACGACTAAAGGTTGACTGTTTCGGAAGAATGTCTTCAACCGATTGATTGTTTACATCGCGATTTCTAGAGTATTCTTCGTAAGCTCGCCATGCTTCTTCATCACATGCTGATTTTAACTTCGTAAGAATAGTTTTCCTCATGCCTCTGATTGTAAAATTTGGATACCATCGTCGAAATGAATCATTCCGAGTTATAAACTAAAAAACAAAATCCTGTAAAAAATTTCCTATCACAGTGATTCCCTTTTCACTGTAAATATTATGAATCCTTTTCACTGTGTCCCGCTATCAGAATTCGAAACTTCTTCGCTCAGATCTCTAAAAATTACTGGCAGGAATATATAATTTAAATACTCCTTAAATAAATGAACCTAGAAATAGCAGCATGAACTATTCCCACTTAAGCTTTCTCACAATAAGAAATATTTTTGCAACACTATGGCCATATCATTTGATACTGCTTAAAACCAAAAATGACTTACCAACGGTGGTTTCAGCAAGAAACATTCGGCAAATTTTAACAGAAATAATCCACAATCTGTATAGTTCCTTTGCTGAGGAACAGGAAACGGCACAATCTAAAGCATTTGAACAGTTTTAATAACCTAAAAAAAAGAAAAGAAAAACTAGATCTGAAACTATGCACTACCAAAAATGTGCCACAAATTTAAAACTGTGGGCAAAAACGTCACCTTTTCAATCAATTCTTTTGCAAAGTACTTTGTGTCCCCATCCTTTAATTTCCTTTTATCTTCATATTCATAAACAAGATATTGTCTCAAAACGGGAACAGTTAATTTCCTGCAAATTAATCTCAACAAAATTAAAGACCACTTGTATTTAAGTTAAAATGATTACCTAAATCATCTAAGCGATTTATTTAAGTGACTCTATCCATTATTATTATATTTACTGAGTTCTATTTGGACTTTAATTTAAATAAATTATAATTAGCGAAACAAAATCCACATTTATACCTCTTTATATCTGTAGCATCGGCCAACGAATCCAGCAAAATGATACATGTTTTCCTTAACCTTTTCGGTATAACATTATCATCCTTGCCATTTGTTGCTTCTTGCACACGATTAACAATAGCGTATCGAGGAAAAGTGATTATGGCTAAATACCTGAGAGTAAAAATAATTTGTAGCATCAATATTTGGAATATGCTGCTTTAACAACTTTAAAAAAATTTGAACAATGAAGAGCTGACCTGAAACAAGCTCCAAGTTTAAACTGACTCATTATTTTTTGAATAAATTAATGTAATTTCATTACTCATTAACTATAAAAGCAAAGTTCTCACGGACAGTTCCCAAGGACATTTGTCACCGAAGTAAGTGGGATAAGAAATTACAGTTAGTTCAGATAACCTTAAAAAGACACAACTAACCAATGGATATCTTCAACAATGGGGACAACAATATAATCAGCGTTAAAAATGTCCACATTTTTTGTCCATGTTCGCACTCCTTTATAATTCTCGGCGATCTTGAAAAAGTAATTTGAAAAAATGAAATAAAAGCAATGAATATTTTCTTAAAATAATGGTATATTAAAAAGCACAAAATGTACTCTTGTTCTCAGAACAACAAAATGATTTTAATGTTAGAATGGTTTTGTCCGAGTTTTGCATTCAATAATTTTCATCGTTATCTTTCAACACTATGAATAATCTGTGTCATATGCCCACTATTTCTTTTTTCAATCATAAACAAGCTGAACTACAAGTCATAATAATATAACGGTTCACTTTTCTTACTAATAGACTAACCCATTTCGCGCGAGAAAAAGTGGTATGAATTACACTGGAACCGGCAGCTGGCATTTGTGTTAACCGCGAATAAAAGAAGGAATTGAATATAAAAATAGATGGACGCCTAGAAAAGTTATAAATTTATAAAAGCCTGGGACTGTGGCAGCTTTGTTATAAACGATGTTTTATAAATGTGAAAAAAAATTGGTGAAAAAGAATTAGTGGAAAAAAGAAAAAAGCTATTAGTTTACCTCTCTGATGATACTAATTCCATTTGTATGTATTTTAAATAAAACTCTATGATTGTATCATTTAACATTTCATTTGGTCTCAAATATTCCACATCAGCATAGTGAATTGATATGGTTGGCTGGTCGCGAGGATAATTTAATAACAAATCCAATTTTGGTCCTTTTGCGAGTTTCAACTAAAAAAAATACGGTTGTTTCGAAAAAAATAAGTTTTGGTGACAAGAAATGAATCATGCTTAACCAAATCACATGCTTACTTTATGCTGATATGGTTACACTGAAATGAACTGTTAAACGTAACCACAGATGGTTGAAATTGTCACCCATTCGATGCAAAAAGATCATAGTAAGCTATCGTTGGTTTGTGCAATTTATTGGTTGGAAAGAAAACTACACTAACGAAGTATACTAAATAATGATATTTTCAATTAAGCTAAAAACTGTCGAGAATCCCCTATTATTTAATTATCTCAGAACCTCTACATGGAATATTTGTTAACTGCAAACAACATGAAAAAAATTAAGTAAAAATCTCTAAGAACTACTCTAAACACCTACGATTTTCGCATTAAATATACAAAACCATCTCAGATTTACGTTTTCGATCCTCAAAAATGAATGAAACTTATCACTTTTACAGTTTGTAAAATAAAATGAACATTATTATGTTTCTACAAATAGCACAGAGACATACAGGACCACCTTCATCGTCCTCATCATCAATAATATGTACTATTCGTTTAGAGTTTTGAGTGGACATTTTCGCTTCTGATGGCATCCCATAACGTGAGGTTGATGGTTTGTTGAGTGTAGCATTCAAAGAGAGTTCAGAAGCATTCAGCTCCTGCTTGATGGTTTGTAATTGTGTACCCGAGTGCATCAAAACAGAAGCCTTTTTGGATGGCGATCGACTGACAGTGCGTGTATTCCGTAGCATCACTGGCTCAGCAACAGCAGAATTACGTCTGTGAAACACCTTAACATGTTTGACTAGATTACGGCCCAGATTTCTGATTCAGTGAACTATTCAAAACAGAAATCAAATGTCCTTAAACCCTCTCAGAAAAGATCATGGGTGTAGCATTTATTCAAAGATCGAGTTCAAATGAATTCGAATACGGTTAACTAATGACCGAAGAAAGTTCGGTTCTCAAAAACTTTGGAAATATTTCTTCTTACGAGAATCAACAAGAATTGTGATAGATCTTTTTATCCAAAAAAGAAACGAAAAAAATCAAAGGAGATGAAGACTTACATGTATACCAGGAGAGGAAGTTAAAGATGATGAACTATGTCGAGGTTGTGCTACACGCACAATGTTAACAGTGATCGGACGATGCTGCACGGCACATGTTGGATTAGACTGATGATATGTAATATCTCTGAGCTCCTGAACATCTGGTAGTTTGGCAATTTCTTGTGAGCGAACCTACAAAAATTTCATTGATGAAACTTTTTGGTTTTGGTCACAGTTAGAACTAAGTAAATTATACGATAAACTCCTGCAAGAAGTCTGAAATGCCATTACCAACACATATTATTTCTCTATATGTAGTTTTATAATTTCGATTGGCCAATCACTGTCTGACGATAACACATTTTCTCGATCTAAAGTTTCCGAAACATAGTACTTTACTAATTTAATACTTTAATTTTGTCGTTGAACACTGTAATAGCAAAACAAGCTTTAGATAGTCAAATGTTTCTTAAATTACAATTACTGAAACTCTGCATAAAGTTCTCAAACTATCTCAATTCTTTTATAAATAATTTACAGCTGATAGAGGGCGTCGACTGTTGATATATACGTGCGGTTGATTGTGAAGAAATATTTGTGACGGTTGAGAGAGGACATCTGTAGAATTGACATTACATGCATTACTATCAATAAGACGTGATGCAAAATTCGGTACAGTACCCGATACCTGTCTGACATTCAGTCCAATATCTCGTATCAGAGTCACGAAATCATTTTCATCCATATCTCCTGTGCAATATACATATTTAGAAAACCGAACATTTCGTTAAATTTAAGAAAGTTCGACTAATAGTTGCAAAAACAGCAATTTAAGCCTATACCAACAATCATCTAAATGTCTTCAAAATGTTTTACTTCCAGTATAAAATCTTAGTACAGAACGCCTCACATTTTTATAATCGAATAAAAATCAAATAATATAAAAATCACCAAAAAAGTTTCCTGATGATGCATTCATAAGTACACTCTGTCCAATACTTTGAGCCTTGAAAAGCAATTTGGCTTCTCCTACTAAGCGCAAAACCCACTTTAATAAATCCATATCGTTCTTGGTACACCTTGCTATATCAACCAATATATACCTTTAAAAATCATATTAAGTTGAACAAACTGGTAATCTATTAACAAAATATTTCGATTCCTAATGACCTAACTTGATATTTTATGCTAAAGCAATGTAAAGTGAACTATAGAGAATTTGTAATTCCTCTGATTAAAATCCATTCTTTCTTTCACTATTTAATATAAAAAAGCCCTGAACAAAAATTTTTAGTAACTCTGCGTAACGCTAAAAATGCTAGTGGTGACAAGAAAAGCAAAGAAACTTAAAAATGGAGACAAAAAATCTTTAAGATTAAACTAACAAAACAAACAAGCTTTAAGTGATAATTATTCAAGCTTCCCTTCAAAATCTTTCCCAATTTAAGGATTTATCAATGCTGATAAAATATACCTCTGACAGATGCGTGCACTTTCTGGATCGAAGTACGGAGCATTACTTCCGATCGTTGCTTCTGGCATTGATGTGATGTGCAATGTTTCTCGAATTTTGTGAGCGCAGAATCGATTAACCAAAAAAGCTATCGCTTTATGTTGGCCACTCTGACAAAGCTACAAATATCAAAAAAAGTAAGTGAAGACAAACAATGATGTACTGAAAATAGCTAATAATTCTAACCTCTACTTAATGCTTCTCAACAGTTTCAGTTTTTTATACAGTTACCACCACTTTATATGAGAAACTTTTCCGTGAGAAATTTGAAAAATGAAGGTTACAATATCTTACCAATGCTTTACAGATATGTTTCGAGGCAATTTGTATGGAAAACTTTTGCGCATCATTCACATTATAAACACAGATTATGATATGATTTATGTGCACAACAGTGGGTTTTACTACTCGAAGTTTCAATGTCCCAAAATATACATACATTGATTCGATCTAAACAACGATAAGCTAAATGATGGTATCTAAATAATAAAACATTATATTTGCAGGTTTGTGTTCGAGTCATTTCTTTAGTTTTACACCGATTCTATCATCTTCAAACAATGAAATTTGTTCTATGATAGACATAATGATTAATTGTGTTGGAAATTGCTGTTATTCTTATTGTGCTTATCCATCTATCAATTTTTTGTTACATATCTTAGACATATATGATTCGAGAATGGATATAACTTATGAAACTTACAGAAACACATTCCGCTGGAGCAGTTGCCATTCATTCAATCACTGTTGACCGTCTACACTCAACACATTCAATAAACTATCCCAGTATCAGTATCACAGCTACAATTTCAACAATTTTAAGCAAATTATTAAATGAGAGATGTAAACGCTTAGACTGCCAAATATCAAGCGTAGTAGAATTTTCAGGACATTACCAAATAATTGATCCAATTAGGGTAGCATTGCAAGCGAAAATAGCATGTGAATGGAGAAGAAGATGCAAAGTGTCGTTATAGCGTGAAGCTCCGAGACAAAAAAAATCTCACACGTACCCAACTATTAAGGTAACGTAACATACACGCAATTTCATATTCCATTTTTTCTACATGCAATTGGACTCTTTTTGACGCGTTATCGTTACGACTTGAATCGTTTCATAAGAGTGTGAGCAGCATTATTGCCACGTTTTCTTTTGTATGAGTTTGATAGTTTGGTTTAGTTCTTTTTTTTTTCACTAATCCAAAATTGAATGTTTTAATTGTGACCGAATTGGTGATTTCTATTTGCTGAAATATTTTGACACGTCGAATCACATCAGACTCGTGTCATTCCTCATTTATCAAATTTTTTTGTATGATTTAATAATTAATGGTAATAGTGACAACAGCACATATTGTAATTCGAAACACTGGATAAGTCTTTTAAGTATAGCTGAGTTCGATATCAGATTGTCACATACAATTGTCATACTTCAGACGTTACATTGGAGAGTTCAGCTGAAAGTAGTATGTTTTAATTGCAGTGGTGAATAACGATGTCGTCAGGAGAGTTACCATGCTATACGTTGATTCATGTACCGAGCGATTTTGAAATACCAAGTGAAGTACAGCTAAAAGAAAAATTCGAAAAAGGTTGATATTTCAGATCTTTATGCATGCTATATTCTTTAAATAATAATGAGCAATTAATGATACATATGTGATAGCATGTAGAAGTATTTTTTCATAATGTTATGTAGTAATGAAGTAGTATTACCGATAAGATGATGATGGTATTGGTTTTAATATAAGTCATCACTTTTTAATTTTTTATCATAAAATTATTTTTTTGACTACAGGTGATATTAAGACGAAAACAGATGCATTGAAGAAGCTGATTATGATGATAATGAATGGAGAAAAGGTAGGACAGGGTATGATGATGCAAGTGATTCGATTCTGTTTACCTACGTCTGATCATACTATCAAGAAACTACTTCTGTTATTCTTTGAAATCGTTCCCAAGGTAAATTGCATTTTCTTCACGCGTTAATCAATTTGAATACTTGGAGAGCATTAACAAAATTTTATGGAAAGCGATTTATTAATGGTGGACGAGTTATTTGGTTTGATTTGACAATGAGTCTTGAGAGAGTCTTTTTGAAAAATTTATTTAATCTTCAGTAGATAAGTTTTGTAAGTGACCCTGATAATCATGGTAGCGAAGAATCGGGACTAATGTTATCTTAATTATCTCAAGCGTACCTTTTTCTTCCTGCGGTGTATAGTCAAGCATACTTTTTTCTTCTTTCGATATATAATTTAATATAAGAAAGAGGAAAACACCAGACTACGAGGTTATAATATCACAATTTTTCTTTTCTCTGCGAAATATCAATTATAAATTGGACTGACATTAAGATGTTAATGTTTGATTTGTTAATACTAACGAAAACTGTTTAGACAACATCAGATGGTAAGTTACTACATGAAATGATATTAGTATGTGATGCATATCGCAAAGATTTACAACATCCTAATGAATTTATTCGAGGATCCACACTGAGGTATATTTTTATCTTGCATTTTCTTTTTCGTATTTTTCGTAAAGTATTTTTTTGCTTTTGTATATTTTGATAATCAGAGCCTACTTTTACCTTCAAAATTTCGTGGCTATTTGTCATTCACATGTCATCCCTTTGTATATTGAACCAGTAGACGCATCAATGAGTAGTTTATAACTTCTAAAAGTTATTAGTAAGACCTAAAACAGTGAGAAAACTTCATAGATCTTGATCTCCAGCATGACTGTGATATCTTTTTAGACAGTATTTTGCTTCAACATCATTAGAAAGGTATAAAATTATTATCAGTATATTAAAAGAGCGGTTTTATACTCTTTTTTACAAGAAAAAATTACTTTTGTATAAGGGAAAGTTTTGCAACAGGTTTTTATGCAAACTTCGTGAACCGGAACTTCTGGAGCCTCTTATGCCTGCAATTCGTTCATGTCTCGAACATCGTCATGCTTATGTTCGACGCAACGCTGTTTTGGCCATTTTCACCATCTACCGTATGTTTCAAGTTACTAGTTGAAACATCGACATTTTTTTCAAGAAATATTTTACACCTATCTTAAATGCTGTATTTCTTCATCTTATTATGTTTTTTAGGTAATTTCGAATTCCTCATTCCGGATGCACCAGAATTGATATCGACCGTATTGAACAGTGAACAAGACGCGTCTTGCAAACGAAATGCATTCATGATGCTTCTTCATGTTGACCAAAACAGAGCTTTAGATTATTTGTCTGAAGTAATCGACCAAGTTACTACATTTGGCGATATTCTTCAGCTTATAATCGTGGAACTCATTTACAAGGTAATTTAGATTATTTTGTTATGCATTGTCTAAATTTCCATCACTGCATTTACTTCTGGGTTTCTGGCTTTATTGTTTATATTTCAGTACTTGTCTTGAAAATTTTATATGTCATATTTCAAACTTTTTAAGGTTTGTCACGCAAATCCACCAGAACGAACACGCTTCATTCGTTGTGTTTATAATCTCTTGCAGTCTTCATCTCCAGCAGTAAAATACGAGGCAGCTGGTACACTTATCACTTTAAGCTCTGCTCCTACTGCTATCAAAGCTGCTGCATCAGCTTATATCGATCTTATCGTTAAGGAATCAGACAATAATGTCAAGGTTCTTTAAAAGAAATTGGATTCATTATAACTTTTAATATCACCCATCTGCTTACTGTAGAGAAAATTTTACTGTTACACTGTATTATGCATTATGTCAAATGAATTAGACTGAAGACTTACTGATTTTCTATTGTTTCCGAATTTTTATTATTTTAAAATTGAAAGTAATAACGCATCTGTCTTCTTGTGATATTCAGATAAAATGTTTTAGTTAATTGTTTTGGATCGATTGGTGGAGTTGCTGTCTTCTCCTACTAGTGAAAAAGTGCTGCGTGAATTAGTAATGGACATTTTACGCGTATTGTCAGCTTCGGATCTTGAAGTACGTAAGAAGACACTAAAGCTTGCATTGGATCTAGTATCTTCACGTAATGTCGAAGAAATGGTCATGTATTTGAAGAAGGTTACTTTTCTGAATCTAATATTATTCTGGTCATGATCGCTACACAGCATTATGTATCAACGTTCTTTGGTCTGATATATATATATAATATAGTGATAATTTGTATATATATATAATTTTTAGACGAAGTTGTCAAATTATCACTATTTGTCTCATTCCATTATTTTTTTTATCTTATAAATTATAGAAAAATTATCATTTCACTCATCTAATTTTAGTGGTGCTTTTTTATTTGCGTACCTCAGCTTCCTTTAATTTGCTTTTCTCGTTTATATTAACCAGTAATATGTTGTCTGTATTTCTGATAAATGTTGATTCTAGGAAGTTAGTCGTTCTTCGGATGGAACAGCGGAAGAGGCAGAACGATATCGACAAATGCTTGTGCGAACGTTGCATTCCACTACAGTCAAATTTCCAGATGTCGCAGCAAATATTTTGCCAGTTTTGATGGAATTTCTTTCCGAAGATAGCGAAAATGCTGCGCAAGACGTTTTGGTGTTTGTGAGAGAAACTGTTCAACGATTACCACATTTGCGCCCAGTTGTTTTAGCACAGCTTTTGGTAGTTTACCATTTCATGATAACATGCTAAACTTTACATTCGGAAACTTTTTGAACAGAACATATCTTATTTTAGGATGTATTTGGAAATGTACAAAGTGCGCAAGTTTTTCGGTCGGGATTATGGATTTTGGGTGAATATTGCGAATCAGCTGAGTCAGTAATGAAAGTAATGCAGTTTATTCGAAAGTCATTTGGTGAATTACCTATTGTGGAAAAGGAAATGCAGAAAGCCAGTGGTGACGAAATCACAGATGGAAAGAACGAAAATTCAACAGCTGATGTGACCTCGAAGGTAACTGAAATACTTTCCTTTAATATGTAACTCTGCTTTACTAAATAAATTCATACATAGTGTAATTAGTTCTTTTTGTGATGCAGACTCGACAACTTGTAACTGCCGATGGCACTTATGCTACCCAGTCAGCACTTTCGGCCGTAAAGACGGAAATAACGGAAAATAAAGCCTTGTTACGTCGTTTTCTTCTTAATGGGAACTTTTTCTTGGCTTCATCGCTTGCAACTACTCTAATCAAACTAGTCTTTAATTACAGCAAATTTATGCAAGGTTTGTTTCTCAATTTTTTCATTTGTCTTTAGAGATAAATCTTTTATTGTCATACTGCAAAAAAGCAGAATGAAATTGAAAGAAATATTAACATTTGATTTATAGAAAATCGTGAAATTTAATTTCTTAATGAATTTTTAGATAAAACTGACAAAATTAATTCATTTGCGGGAGAAGCACTATTCATGATTGCATCAATTATCAGTCTTGGGAAGAGTGGTCTTGCGAAGACAAATGCAACTGAAGATGATCTTGATCAGTAAGCTAAACATTCTTTTTAAATAGTTGTTTCTTTTCTTTTTTCTAAGTGTAGTTTTCTATAATTGTTGTGCTATTTCTATGATTTATTGCAAACGTTGTTACATAATTCGTTCATATATGTATACGTATTCATATTTTTCCAACACCGAAATCAAGTCTTGCAGTCTGGGTATGTCGGTCAAAGTTTTATGCGAAAAATGGCCTAATGCAGAAGCTGTTTTTCTTCAAAAATGTCGCGACAGTCTTGAATTAATGTTGGAATCAAAATCAAAAAATGAACGTTTTGAAAGTGAAGCAACAAACAGGTTTGTGCTTCGTGTTAGTCGTGGAATTTTTCATGCGAATGTAAGACGCTCAACAAGTATCAACTTCTTTTAGTTATTTTCACTAGAGCTTTATAAAAAAAAAAGCTAGAATATAATAAAATTGCTAATTTACTAGCTGTCTCCTTGTTCGGAAAGTTTGAACTAAAAAAAAAAAAAAAATTGAAATAATCTAAAATTGAAATAATGAACTAAAAAAAAAAAAAATTGAAAATAATTTTGATGTTGCTTTGCTAAAGCTGCATTGCTATAACAGTTTGCTATTTGTAGAACTATCCAAGTGGAGGTAGATCGTACAATTTCGTTTACGCAACTGGCTCCACGTGTTGGTGACGGAGTGACCGGAACCGAAAATTTATTCGATCTTTCATTATCGCAAGCACTGGGAACTGTTGCAAAATCTCCCAAATTCGATTTTGCTTCCTCTAAGTTGGGCAAGGTGAATAAATTAATGGAAATTATCTCACAGTTTACGAGCTGTTATGCTCCTGTTTCCATGAAGCTTTTATTTTATAAGATATATTTCTTCGTACAAACTTGATAAAAATCTGAAGGACCTTATAGATCTTGATGCAAATTTGGGAAATATTTTTGAAGGGTGTTTAGGTGTTTAGTTTCTTCTCAGTTATCTTCAAATGGACTACAGCATATTACCTCTTAATTATTTATCTATTTCATACTTCGTTTCAGGTTAAGCAACTTGCTGGTTTTTCGGATCCTGTTTATGCTGAAGCATATATCAACGTAAATCAGTACGACATCGTTCTTGATGTGCTTATTGTTAATCAAACAAATGATACTCTTCAAAATGTTTGCCTAGAACTATCAACAGTTGGTGATATCAAGCTGCTCGATAAGCCAACGCCTCTTACACTAGCACCGCGTGATTTCTCCAACATTAAGGTAGTTTTTTTTTTTTCAAAGTACTGCCTACTTTACTGCTTACGGTTCATAATTTGTTATTTTATAAATAAGCACTGGTTTAGTGAACACTGATATCTTTATCGACTATGTAATGATTACTCAATTTTGAGATTCTGCAGTTGATCACTTCAGGTTTTTGAACTGTTGAAAACTTTTACTTCTTTATTACAATGCCGTTTTGTATTCTGTTTTTTTAAATAAATTCTGTTATTACTGAGTTCATTTTAGGCTACCGTGAAAGTTGCTTCTACGGAAAATGGTGTAATTTTCTCGACTATAGCCTATGATGTTCGTGGGTCAACATCTGATCGAAACTGCGTTTATCTGGAAGATATACATATTGATATCATGGATTATATTGTACCAGGCAATTGTACGGACACTGAATTTCGACATATGTGGGCCGAGTTTGAATGGGAAAATAAAGTTTGAACGCATTTTTTCTTTTTTTTTTTTTATGCTAGTAGCACAAATTTTATAATTGTGAGACTTTTTCTGCTTTAGCAAATTTGTATCTGATTTTTGGTTTTTATTTTTTTAGGTCAACGTGAATACACCAATCACCGATTTACGTACATTCTTAACACATCTGTCTACTGTTACGAATATGAAACTGTTGACCACTGATGCCGCATTAGGTATTTTTTAAATTTGGCCATTATTTTACGTTTTTTTTTTTTTTTTTAAGTGATGATTCTATAATGGCTTTGTCATTTTTTCTGAATTATGGGATTTTTAATGAATATAAGCATGTCTGTGAGCAAAACACGAATCTGATAACGTCATGTGAATTTCAGAAGGTGAATGTGGCTTTTTGGCTGCTAATTTTTGTGCACATAGTATCTTCGGAGAAGACGCATTGGCCAATGTTTCTATAGAAAAAACCAGTCCCCTTGATCCAGATAGTTCGATCATAGGGCATATACGAATTCGTGCCAAAAGTCAGGGAATGGCGTTATCACTTGGTGATAAGGTTTGCATTACTTTTCTCCGTTTCACTGTTCCAAATTTTGACAATTTTGGTATTCAGAGTCAATTATCAGTAATTCCAGATAAACTTCGCTCAGAAAGAGAGGAAATTAACGCTATTGAAAGCAGAAGTAGTGCCGAACTGAAATTTCAATTATGTTTGTATCCTGTGATAATTATTAGTTTTGAATGCTCCTTATCTCTTTCATTTTATCGAAAAATACTGAACCGCAATACTGAACCGTTTCTCTCCTCTTATTGTCCGTCTCCCTTCAGTTCTATCAAAATTACTGTTACAATGCCCACAGCAACTTCTATCAATAAGTGGAATGCATCGTTTGCGTAAGTGATACATTCCATTCAATTAGTTATTTCCCTGTATATAGCTGATCCAGCTCTTTTGAAACCTTATTAACTTATAAATAATAAGATTAATTTCACTTTAGTATTGTGATGTAAACGTCGAATATTAATAAGGATATAATAATAGAAAAATGTGTTATAGCAGTAAATATAATCACAAACACATGGTATACGTACACATAAAAGAAATAACACATTATGAAAAAAAAAAAAAAAGAACTAGGAAAATCACCACGTGTATTCATCACTAAAAACTATTATAGCTGCATTTGATTACTATTCTATTTCATTATAGAATTGTAATCAAATATCATTGGGTTGCTGTCAGCTAGGGTACCCTGTTCTTGCTAATGTTCTTTTGTATCCGTTGTTATCTTATTTAATGTGTTTTTGTATTGTCATAATTTATTTTTGGTTCTATTCGTAACTTTAATTTAGATTTTATAATCTACAGAAATTTCCGTCTTGATTTGATTTAGTTACCAATGTTATATATTGAAGGGAAAAATGAATATCTTTTTTAGAAATTTTCGTCACATCGAATATTTTAATAGACACTAAAAGTACAGAAGTCTTAGTATAGTTCACTATTTAAGTTGAAAATATTTTAGGGTTTCCTCATAAACATAGTTTAGTCAGATAAAGGGACAATTCCACATGGAGCATTTTACTTTTCTCGTGATTGCAGCAAGATATGTTTATGTTTTAAGGGGCAGAAACGGATTATGTTTGTTTGGGGTTTAGAATGTTAGTCTACGTTTTGAATAAATTTGAAAACCAATGTTTTTTTGAATTGAGAAAAACGAACATTTAAATTGAGATGGCACACACGCACAAACATAAACACAATGTGAACTACTACTTTAAATGCTTTGGATAGAGTGATTTGATGAAGGAGTCAAGTTTTGGAATTAATAAACGATAATAAATCATTCGCTTATGTGTAATTTAATGAGAATATAATAGGAACAATTACATAGTAATTGCTAAAGAAGTTGCTTTCTGAAGAATGAATGAGAATTTAATAAAAGTTTGGAGACACTGAAAAAAAACCAGATCAAATGTTTAGCATAATATAATTTGACTAATTGTAAGTCATCTTTTTATACGCGATAAGTACGTGAAATGTTTGTTAAAGTCGTGTCGTCCCATTCCAAACTTCTGTTCTGTCGTTCTAAAATGAAAATATATATTGATAAAGAAATAGAGGATCTCAAGATTGTGTTTTCTAGAAATTTCGGCCAGCGAAAAGTTAATCTGTAAATATAATAGCTAAATTTTAAAGCAGTAATGTAGAGTTTTTTCTCTTTTTTTTCTGCTGAATCGAAGAAATAAATGAAAATGGATAACATAAAATGAGAATGATATCCATTTTTGAGGTGTTACTGTTACTTTTGCACGACAAACATTTTAAGAAATATTTCATTCCATTTTTTGCAAGCTTTCTTTAAAATTTTCTTTAATTTGAAAGCTAGAAAAGAAATGGAAAAATGCAGCTCACCATTATCGACATGAGGAAGTACATGCCCAGCATCTTCATCTTCTGTCAGACCCTCATCATGAAAACTGAAATATTGTTGAATTGCTTATTTAAAATTAGAAATACCTGAAAAAGTCCAGACTCTTATGAATTTAGAAGATCAAAAAACGAATTTTAAATTGCAAGATTAATAATTAAAAAATTTGAGAATCTGAATGTCAAAAATATGAGTTTTTTCATAACTTTTTATTCATATGTATACTCAGAACACAACAGTCTTAATAGAAATCTTCAAAGTTCAGATATAAATACTCAATATTTTTTATGAAATTACCTTTCTCCACCATCGGAGCTTTCTTCGTCAGAAAAATTAGCGCTATTTTTGTCAACTTCCTCCAATGGATTTACAGTTATATTCATACCACTATCGTCCCATTCCATTGCCCCTTCCTATAAAAAAAATAATTTCCAATAATAATAAGCATAAGAATCTACAAAAAATTTACATTAAACTAAAAGTTACAGTGCTTCGCCGATTTCGTCGTCGTCTGGAAGGAAGTGGAGTATCACGTATTTTAAGTACTCCAATCACTAGCATAACCAGAAGGAAACCAACACATAAAACAACAACTACAGCAACTGCTCCTCCTGAAAATTCTATAACCATGTAGTTCAAATTAGCAAAAATTTTCCCAGTCAAAAATAATGGAACATATAAAACTAATAATAATATACAACCTTTCAATCACAGAAATATCAACGCAAATTTATTATATAAAACTAAACACACCGAAAAAAAAAAAAAAAAAAAAAACTCTACTTTTTAGTAGCTTTAAAGATGCCGGAAGTAGATGCATATTACTAGATTAAATTGCAATAAAAACTTTATCTTTGTCATACAGGTGACTTTTAAATAAACCTTACTATATTTTACCTGCGATAGCACCTTGCACACCGTATCCATGATGTGACATCAATGCCTTCGGCCGTGGTAAATCCATTTCCAGTAAATTCTGCAGTCGATTTCCACCGATTCGATCAAATGCAGGATCCACTTGAATTTCTTCATCATCATCCAGAATTTCAGTAATTGGTGTCTCACTTGATTGCAGTGATGTGTTGATATTCATCTAAATTCAACACCATTTTCTTTCTTTTTATTCTTGCAGGTATTTTTTCTATTTTAATGTATAAATATGTTTATATTGAATCGAAATAACGAATCTCATAATTTTAAGAGCTAAGATTTAAAACTAGTTTGAATCAAATATTGCTCGTCTTTAATGCACATGTTTACTTCGATTACATGATGGATCTTTCTTTGTCTGATAAATTTTGTCCATGTAATATTCTTAAAAAGTTATTACTATTAAATACAGACTCTGCTCTCTCTTGCTAACAGTCCTTATTTCTTCCTCATCAGTGTTAATTTGCAATAATTTCTATATCTGTTTAGAAAAAAAAAAAATAATAATTTTCTTGAGAAGATGAGAAAGACAAGAAAGGAGAACTAATAAGAACAAACCGAAAATTATTCGTAAAGAGAAAGATAATAAATACAAAAAATACAAAGGCGAGTAAGGAATTATTATTTTCTTAAATTAAATAAAACTTATACGATTTGAGCCATCTGCTAAAAAATTTCGTGAATAAATAAAAAAAAAAAAAAAGAAAATAAGTGAGAAGCCAATTCAGATAGTTTTCTGTTAGTACAGAATCTCAGGTCTCAAAAAAAAAAAAAAAAAAGTTTCGAGATTTAAAAAACAAAGTCTTTTCTTCTATTTCTAATTCATTTACTTGTTTTTTTTTTTTTTTTATTTTACACTGTAGTATTAAGCAATTCCCTAAAAAAACATATGCATGGGCAAGTATATTGATGATAAAACTGAAGTAAGCAAACAAAGAATATGTTTTGATAAATTAACCACTACATGATAACTTCAGAAAACCCGTTTCTCAAATGTTCAGCAAAACCTAAAACATTGATCTTGATTTTACGATAAATTCTAAAAAATTTTATGATTTACTGTGATTAGAAATTAATTGTTAAGTCATCTAACTAAAATTTGCTAAAAGAAATTCTCAATTTCCATTTCTTTCATCTGCTCGAGATATCTGAACTTAATGCTTGATTCTACAGCGACCCTAAACCTAAACCCAGACCCTAAACCATTCTAATAAGCTTACCGTGACAAGAAATTCATTGCTAAGAATATGACCACCACTCATTGCACATTGCACAGTATAAATTCTTCTTGAATATGAATCAGCTCGTGTATTAAAGTAGTGAATTTTTGACAAAATCTCTCGATAACCTTTCACCTTTTCTCTACCTTTCAGTAAAATACCCTGAAAAATCCAAGCATAATCATTTTTCATAAATATATTTCCTAACTCTCTATTTCCAAAAAAAAAAAAAAAACTAAGTCAAAATAATGAAAGAAGTCATTTAGTCCTTCCAAAAATCAGCTATTTTATGGTCAAATTTTCAAAAAAAAAAAAAAAAAAAAAAGGAAAAAATTTAAAGGAATAGGATCCTCTACAAAAATTAATTTAGTTCAATAATTTTGAAGATAATAGCAAGTCAATGAATGCATTAATCTATTTCATCAGTTTAGTTCAGTTCATATCATTCTCATCTGACTATTAAAACAACATTGCTTATGGATGAAATGATGTTTGACTTGTTTATCATGTTCAAAATCAATTCGAAGAGCAGCAATTAACGAAGCTGGAGATGAGAAATATTCGAGATCCATATCTCGTGATGGCTTTAAATGAACTTTACACCAGTCAAGTTCTGATACGCTTGTCCGCTCAATTTCTTCTGAAAAAAAAAACAAAAAAAAAAAAAAAAAATTTCATTGTATAATAGTTTTTCCGCTACCGTTTTTTCATCACTTCTTCACCATAACTTCGCAGTGTGTCCCCAACTTCTCTCATCCATAATAGAACAAATCGAAATGAAATTTATGAAAAGGGAAGACGCTGTAAAGTCGATCCCTAATTGACGCAAAGCGTGCAGCTCAAAAACGATTGTAAGTTAACAGGAACATTACAATTAACTCAAGATTGGTACCAATGTAATATAAAATATTCAAGGAATGTCAAACGCAAGCTCAGAAAATTTATAATAAAGCTGAAATTTACCTCCATTAATATTTTGAGTTACAGTTATTTTAATTTCGGGAAGCATTGGTGCACCTGTTTTTACGAGATGTTGATCACTATTCACAACTGATAATCCACTAATTGAAATTACAGGTTCAGCTTCATGCTGGACGAATATGGAGCCTTTACTGG